GGGTCCCTCGGCTGCCCGGGACCCCCCCGGTGCCCGCGTGCCCCCCGCCGGGTGCTCACCGGTGGCAGAGATGAACTTGTTGTAGTTCTCATAGAGCAGGGTCTGCATGTCGCTGTCCAGGGCGCGGATCTCCCGGCCCAGCTCGGCCTCGCGCGCCAGCAGCTGCGCCAGGGGACACTCGCTGCGGACCTGGGGGGGGGACAGGGGCATGAACACCCCAACCACATTGCAGCCAGAGCCACTGCCCCCAGCCCCCTGCTCCCAGCCCCACTGCCCACAGCCCCACTGCCCCCAACCCCCTGCTCCCAGCCCCACTGCCCCCAGCCCCCTGCTCCCAGCCCCACTGCCCCCACCCCCCTGCTCCCAGCCCCACTGCCCCCAGCTCACTGCTCCCAGCCCCACTGCCCACAGCCCCACTGCCCACAGCCCCACTGCCCCCAACCCCCTGCTCCCAGCCCCACTGCCCCCAACTCACTGCTCCCAGCCCCCCTGCTCCCAGCCCCACTGCCCCCAACCCCCTGCTCCCAGCCCCACTGCCCCCAACTCACTGCTCCCAGCCCTGCTGCCCTCAGCTCACTGCCCCCACCCCCACTGCCCCCCAACCAACTTCCCCTTCCAGGCCCTTGATTTACCCCAATAAGCCTATGACTGCCCCTCTGGGGCCCTACCTGCCCCTCGGGTCCCCCCCCCCCCCAGGATGGCCAGCTGCCCCTTCAGAGCCCTGACTACCACCGAGGGAGTGCTGTCAAGACCCCCAGATCCCCAAATGTCCCCCTGGGATGTTCATCTGCCCCCAGGAGCTCTAACTGCCCCCAGTGAGTGCTGATTGCCCCTGCCCCCCCCCCAGCTGCCCCACAGGACCCCGATATTGCCCCCATGGAGCCACCCGTGATCTACAGCCCCTGTGGAAGGCGATCCACAGGGTCCCTCCCCGGGGGTGCCGCTGCGTGGGGTGTCCCCGGGGACCGGGCGCTGTCACGGCGGGCTCAAAGGTCACCTTAGTGAGGAAAACCTCGGGGTCGAAGTGGGGCCCGTTGATGTCGGCGGGGTCCGGGGCCGCCTCGGCCGCCTCTGCCGCGGAGGGGCCGTAGTAGCGCTGGAGGGGCCCATGGGGCCGCCGCCACCCGCCGGTACCGGAACCGCTGCCGGGCTCGGGGCTGCCCCCGCCGCCGCTCCCCGCCGCCTCCGGCTCCGCCATCGCGCCACCGCTTCCCGCACTTCCGGCCCGGCCCCCGAGCGTCACTTCCGCCGCGACGTCGCTGTCGCCGTGGCAACCGGGCTCCGTGCCCGTCATGGCGGTCCCAGCGCTGGCCCCGGGCCGCGGCCGCCCCATCCCGCCCCGTCCCGCTGTGTCCGGGGGTGAGGACGCGGGAGGAGGCGCCGGTCCCGAGGGGTGAGCGGCGGTGGCGGCCCCGGCCCCTCAGGCGGCGTCCGTGCGAGCGCTCCCCTCGGGGCGGTGGGGACCCTGCGGGGACGCGCCCGGCCCCTGCTCCCCCGGCCCCCTCCGGTTCCTCATCGGGGGCTGCCCCGGAGCCGCCCCCAGCGGTTGGGGAGGGGGTGTCATGGGGGGGGGGGGCACGGGGGCCGGAGCAGGAGCCCCGGCTGAGCCCTGCCCGGTGGCGGGACTCGTGGCTCCGTTTCTGGGTTGAAATCAGCATCTGCGCCCCGAGCGGCCTTGCCCGCCCCCAGGGGTGGGTTTGATCCCCCCGAAGCTCCTTTCCCTGCCCTCACAGCCCCCAAGCAAGGGGCGAAACACCAAGGAGGACCAGAAGCAGGGCCCTGGTGACGCGGGGGTGACCCAGGGCTCCCAACAGGCTGGGGTGGGCACACAGAGCAGGGCACAGCAAAGAGCACCCAGAGCTGCTCACAACGGGCAGCCCTTGCTGAGGACAAGGCCCCGCAGTCACCTTTTGGGTGGGTTTTGTCCCTTTTCCCCTCCCAGGTGATGCAGATCCAGCCCCAGGCGCCCGCAGCTTCCCCAGGACCTGCGATCCCACCCTGAGGCAGCGACCCGCATCCTGCTCCTTCCAGCACAGCACTGGGAGCACGCAGATGCAGGCAGCGGCTCCCGGCGGTATTTCACCTTTCTCATTGCTACCGAAGGACTGTCCATGTGTGCTGCAGCCATCCCAGTCGCACGGGGCCCACCCCAGCTCCGGTGCTGACTGTGAGTGCTCGAGGGAAGGATGCGCTCCCCTGTGCCATAGCGATTTGGGGCTGCTCCTCTCCAAAGCCGCCCTCAGGTAACAGCTCACTGCTGAGCTCTGGCTCTTGGTTCTTACAGCTTCAATAGAATCAGGGAATGGTCTGGGTTGGAAAGGACCTTAAGATCATCCAGTTCCAGCCCCCTGCCATGGGCAGGGACACCTCCCACTAAACCAGGTCACCCAAGGCTCTGTCCAACCTGGCCTTGAACACTGCCAGGGATGGAGCATTCACAGCTTCAGTAGAGACACCCCGATGTTTTGTACATTCCCCTCTAGCTGGGGGGGGTGTGGGGAGGATCTGCTCACATTTGTATGCTGCAGGAAAGCACTGTCATTTTAGAGCTATAGGAAGCCTAAACCAAGATGAACAGATTAACTGAGCAGATGTCCAGGGGGCCTGAGGGGTCGGTGGTGGCTGAATGAGGAAGCCCCCGTGCTGATGTGTTGGGTGGTTGATCCCATGTCCCTCCGTGCTGCTGCTGTGGTTCACCCACATGCTCAGTTCTTCCTTCTCTCTGACTTTGTGCTTCCTGAGGGCATTCACTGCAGTGCAGGGCTCTCCTGCAGCACTCACAGAGGTTACCCATCCTCACCCAGCTTTCCCAAGAGCTTCCCGGTGCTGTGTTCAGGGGCTGTGGCTGGTTCCCAAATGAGCCCCACGCAGAGAGGAACCCTCCGATGGAGCACACTGCTTGGCAGTGCTCCTGCAGATCCCTCTGCATGGGGAAGCCTTTGACCTGATCACAGGCTGGCACCCAATGATGCCAATCACCACCCCAGCAGGACATGGGCAGCCTGGGAGAAGCAGGGGGAGCCTGGAGGATTGCCTGGAGCAGGAAGAGGAGGAGGAGAGGGCACAGAGCCCATGGGGTCCTATGGGGGCTGAATCCAAACACATGGCAGCAGTGGGGTGGGAACTGGAGAGGGCACAACTTCAAGAACCTTAACCTGACATTTCAAGTTTAAAACCCCTGAGGTTAATTTTACATATACATAAAAAAACCCTTGGATTGATTTCTAGAGGAATTCAAAGGATCAGAGACAAAAGCTCCAGTCCCTGCACTGCAGTTCCCTGAAGAGGTGCAGTTCCCACTTCCTGGGATAATGTTGAGATTGGGCTTTTAGGCAGCAGGTTCTCTACAGCTCCAGCACAACACCTGAGGGATCTGATCTTGGCACGCAGCCTTGCTAACGTGAGCACAAGAGAGAAACACTTGAAGATTCTAAAGCCAGAGCTTTATTTACAACAGTAAAAGCAAATGGAAAGAGCTGGGAGTTGCCGCATCTCCCCAGAGAAGCAGGAGGAAGAACCAAAGTCACCACTGCCTCCTTTCTACTGGCCTTCCCTGTGCACTTCCCAAAGGTAGAAGCCAAAAGACACCCAAGTCCAGCCAGGGCAGTGTCTGGACACAGCCTGGTACAGGTGAACGAAGGATAACACTGTCCCCTTATGGATCTGGAGCTGGGTCAGTCCAAGGACAAGGGAATTCCTAATGGGTGCAAGGGGAGGCCAAAGGAACCCCCCGCTGGTGAACATGGGCTTGCTGGGGAGGAGAAGGGCTGGAACGTCAGAGCTTCAGGTGGTTGGTGCAGGAAGAGAAGTGAAGCAGCTCAGCAGAGACTTTCACAAAGGAAACCCAGCACACGTGAGCAGTGGGTGCAGAAACAGTCAGGATGGGACACAGCAGCTCTGCTCAGCTGCCTGGGACAGGAGCACTTGCAACAGGCACCAGAGGCTGGTTTATTTTACATCCTTTCTCCCAACAGGCACAGCACGTGACAGTTACAGAGCGAAGTGAAGTAACTGAGCTATGGAAGAGCGCAGCTGGGGCTGTGATGTGAGAGAGCAGCCCAGGAAAGGCTGGGAGGGTGATGGGAAGGTGCGGTCCCAGCTCCTGCATCCCCAGAGCCACGTGCAGCACCTCCGGGGAGGAAACCGGCCCTGCTGCGGGAGTAATGGCTCTGGGACAGGACGGGAGGGATGTGCCCCAAGCACTGCAGGCAGGCTCCCGGAGCACTGCAAAGGCAAAGCCAGGGGTACCTGCTCCGTGAAAGCAGAAACAAAGCCACCCTCTGACCCAATCCCTCCGTGACCTCCACCAGTGGCACCGTTCAGGAGTTGCACTTGACCTCAGCCTCTGTACATCTTCCCAAAGTGCTCCAGTACCGGAATACCACAAGAACTGAACTGAACTGGACCTTTTGCCATCAGGTTCTCTTTACACTGATTTCAGAGTTAAGGGAGTGTGTTTCCAGCTGCGTGGGAGGGACTAGAAGATACCGTATGTGGGCAAATGGAAGTGGCTTATGGGCTCTAGCCCTCCTTTCTTGCAGGGTTCATCCCTGGTGTTGCCCAGAAGGGGGATAAAGGTGACAGAGCTCACATTCAAATGAAGTTTTATTCCTCTGCAACAATTGGGAAGTATCAGGGTGCAGATCTGCCAATTTCATTTCAAGGCAGAGCACACTTCATTTCACCCAGTGACCCCAATGCTATCAATAGGCCACGGGGAGAGCAGGTATCAGCTGAGTGGAGACGCTGGAATGTCTGTCACACGTTCATGCTTCCAGACCTCCTCAATCAGCATCCTGAACTCCAGAGCTTCCAAACCTCAGCTGGGTTACGGGTATCAGTGAGTCTCTGGAGCCACATCTCCTCACAAGCCTAGTACACAGCATCAAAAAGGGAGGTAACACAAAAGCAGCCTTTAAAAATAGGCTGTGAGACGTGGCCAACGAGGCAAGAGATAAAGGTGTCAGCACTTAACTTCGGGATGTGTTATACATGAGAACCTGTTTAGAACCACATAATTTTATAGAGATGTCTCAGACCAGCAGAACAAGGAGGAGAAGCCGGTGGACAGAGGTTATTTGGAAGGTCTGTCTGGAACACCTGGAGGCCTCCACCACGGGGCAGAGCCAGATGAGCAGTTCTGTCAGTCACTGTGTTTGCTGTCCTGTGAAACCCGCAGAGCAGCTCAAGTCCCTGCTTTGGCCACCAGGTAGTAGAGGATGACGAAGAGCAGGATGAGCCCAGCTGAGACGGAGCAGAGCAGCCGCCGGTTCTCCCTGCCGGAGCGCGCCATGCTGGAGAAGCGCTTCACGCTGCCCGTCAGCAGCCCCGTCACACTCAGCAGGTCCGAGTCCTGGGGACAGAGGACGGGCAGGTGGAGGCTTACAAACACACCAGCAACAGATCAGAGTTAACAGCACCTCTGCACGTGAAGCCTTCACCCACGCAGGACATTCCCTAGGTGAAGCTGGGCCATCACACACACCAGGCTGTGCTCCCAAGCCCAGAAGGCGTGATCTCCTGCCATCATTCTATTCTCCCCTCAGCATGGGGTGACATTCACATGCAGCTCTGCCAGAGGGGGGCAAACAGCTCTCAAACTAATGCAGTTTGGGCAGTTTCATTTTGACTTTTGGTCTGGTTTTCCTTATCCACAAACTACTCGGAGCTTCTGCTCGTGTTGCTCCTGAAATGCTTCGAAGTCTCCTCTGTAACAGCACAGTTTCATGCTGGTCAAAGACTTCTCCTTTAAGGTCTTTTGCCATGACACCTTTTACTTTGATTCTCCATTCTCCTGCTTATCAGGCTGAGAAAACATCCGTTTCGGACACTCCAACACTCTCAGCAGACGCTGCTATTACACAGCTACAAGCTGAGCTTTGACTCAGCTGGTTTCAACACTACAATTATCCGCTCTCTTGCTTCCACACACCAGCTCTCCATGTCCAGCTCAGGCAGAAAAGGTGCTCTGAGCACCAGTGTTATGGTGCTGATCAACTCAAACCTCTGCCTGGATTCCCTTCCTTCATGAGCTGCCTTTCTCCTAAAAAGCCTCAGCAGATGACCCCTCTGCTCCAAGGATGTGCTAGCCTGGCCTGCCCCTAGTGCACTGGGATCTTCCATCAGCAACCAGAGCTTAAGAGGCAGATAACTGGGAAGGGAATTTGGTTTCACTGGTGGCATGTGTCAGAAGGAAAACAGAACAGGGCCCTGACCAGCACCAAAATCACAGGGGCAGCTGAGGAACAGGCCCATTTCCCAGCAGCAGCTGCAGGAGGCAGCTCTTTAACCCTGGGAAGGAGGTGATCTCCACCTGTATTTCTACATCAGTCCATCCAGATGCTAGATACCAACCCCGTCAGCCCCTTGGACAAAGCGACCCTGCCAGCAGTGAAGTGCCTGATGGTTTTGTACCATGAAATCCACTGGGACCGGGTTCAGTTACATTCCTGGTTTGCCAAATGGAGTGCTGGGATCTACCTTTGCTGTTAACCTGGAGCTGCTGCTCACTGAGAGCCAGCAGGCGCAGGCCGCTCTCTACACGTCACCGGTTCCTTACCATGCCATCCAGGTAACGGTTCTGCTCCTCCGCATCTTTGTCGATGTCCAGCGCCAGCTACACAGGGATGAAACAGGGATTAGCGACTTTCAGTGCAGAGAGAACCGGACACACGTGCTGCTGGTTAAACTGAAATGCACATCAGAAAAGCAAGCCTCAGCTCCCCCCTACACGCAGAGGCTTGTTCCGTCAGGAAACAAGATTCTCATTCAGGTTTGGGTGGCTGAACTTTTGTCAGCTCTGAGAATAAAGCTGGGCTGTCCAAAACCGTCACATCGGGCAGGAGCACTTACAGATGGGGACACAACAGCAGGGACTGAGTCTTCCCTTCTACCAGGCGAGTCATTGACTTCTGTTAAGCTCTAAATCAAAGCGCTTGATGTTAGGAGGAGCAAAGCAGCTCTGAGAACACCACACAGAAGGCGTATTTTTCAGACCTGCTTTACGTGCCTGTTTACTGCGACCTTTTCCTCGAGGAGCTGGGCTTTACTACCCCTGTGCAGCTCTGATGTGGTCTCTGTGCCTAAAACTGTGTGCTGCGACACCCACGCCATCCCCTCTGGATGCTGTCTCTAAAGCTGGGCAGGGAAGCGCGGATTCGCAGATACCCCCGGCGTTTCGCAAGGGGAAGTTAAGGAACAGCTCGGGGCCATCACACACGCGGGCCGGCACCCCAAGGCCAGCGGGGCAGGGGCTGCGCCGTCCGGCCTCGGGCACTCACCGCCTTGAGCCGGGTGACCTTGCCGGCCAGGCTCTCCGCCATGCGCTTGTTCTCCGCGTCCAGCACATCCTCGCTCCCAGCGCTCGCACCTGGGCCGGGGAGGAGGCGGCTGAGCCCCACCGGCTCTTTGCTCTCCCGACGCGCTCGCTGCCCCCCCCGCCCCCCGAGGTCTCCGCTGGCCACGGGGGCCGTTACCGCTGCCCCCCCCGGCTTTGCCACGGGACGATCCCCAGCTCCTTCTGCCCAAACTACCGCGAACTTCCCCCAGAGGGACACGGGCAGAACCGCAGCGCCCTGCCCCGAGCTCCCGGCTCCAGCAGTGCCGGGGGCTCCGTGCCCAGCGCGGGGAGGCTGAAGCCGCTCACACCGGGGCTCTTCCCCGCCTCGGCCCTTCCGGGGCTCCCCCCGCCAACCGGGCCCCGGCCTGAAGCGGCTCCCGAAGGACGGCGGGGCCGGCCCCGGCCTCGATCCCTCCCCCGCGCCCCCATGGGACCCCCGTTCCCCGGCGGCGGCGGCAGCAGCAGCAGAGTCCCTCCGCCGCCCCCGGCCTCACCTCGGCCCCACTCCGCCATGGCTGCCGCTGGTCCCGCCCCACCGGGCGGAGCCGCGCCGGGCCCACAAAATGTCCGCCCCCCTCCGCCCGCTCTGCGCGGCTCCGGGCGCTGCGGCGGGAGCGGAGCGGGCCGGGGGCAGCGCGGCCGGGAAATGAGGCAGGGAGCCGGGGCGGCGGCAGGAAGGTGACGGCGCTCCCCTCCGCCCCTCCCCGGCCCGCGGCCGCAGGGCCCCAGCGCCGGGGGTCGGTCCTGGCTCCGAGGGCCTCCGAGCCGCAGGTACCGGCAGCGCCCGGCCCGGCCGCTGGGGGGGGGAAACGGGGAAGGCGCGGAACGAGGCGGGGGAGGCAGCCGGGGAGGGGTGGGACGTGGCCAGGGCGGCCCCGGCTCCTGCCTTGACCGCAGAGCCCGGTTCAGCCCCTCCGCGGGTGCAGTTCCGGGCCGGGCCCCCCGAGGGACCCCCGCTTCCCGCAGCTCTGGCCCAGGCCCCTCCCTGGCTGCGTGGGCCAGGAGGGGTGGCCCTATGGGCGCCCCAAAGCCCGGCGCTGGGCCCGGCGCAGAACCGGAGCTGCGATCGGTGCTTGCCGTGCTGCAGTGGGGTCTGACCGGGGGTCTGTGCTGCAGAGCGCGTACATGGCTCCATGGGGTCTGACCGGGGCTCCATGGGTCTGACCGCGGATCCGTGCTGCAGAGTGGTGTCCATGGCTCCATGGGGTCTGACCGGGGATCCGTGGGGTCTAACCGCGGATCCGTGCTGCAGAGTGCTGTCCATGGCTCCATGGGGTCTGACCGGGGCTCCGTGCTGCAGAGCGCGGTCCATGGCTCCATGGGGTCTGACCGGGGCTCCGTGCTGCAGAGCGCGGTCCATGGCTCCATGGGGTCTGACCGGGGCTCCGTGCTGCAGAGCGCGGTCCATGGCTCCATGGGGTCTCTCTGCGCTCACTGATGTACTCGGAGCCGCTTTATTTCCCACCACTGGGATTGCTTCCCCGCACTGTGGCCTTGCAGAGCTCTGTGAGCTGCCGAGCTCGCGCTGTGCCCAAAATAATCCCCTCGTGTGTGCATCTCTGCTCGTTGACATGGCCATCGTGAGGCACGGCCCTGGTACAGAGAGGAGCTGCCAAGGCCGGCCCCGTCCGTGTGTTCTGCCAGCGTGTGCCTGATGCACTCGCACGGCCCGTCCCTGCGCTGACTGTGCCAGGCAGCAGAGCCCCAGGATCGACCGCCACAAAGCCCGGAGCGTGGCTTTCTGTTCACCACCCTCCAAGGTGGCCCTGCCTGGGGCCGGGGGATGCTCTCCCGCCTTTCCTCTCCACGGGAATGCTGCTGGGTGTTGCACTGTGTTCTTGCTCCTGTGCAGCGCTAGGAATCAGGGCAGCCAGAGGAGGAGGGGGCAGAGAGCTATTTCAGGGAGCTGCTCTGTGTTAATCCCGGGCTGGGAGGGGGGAAAGGCTTTCCCCGGGTGCTTTACTGGCCGGGCATGCATTAAACGTTGAAAAGCAAAGAGAGAAAGAAGAGGATTAGGGGTGAGGGAGGGAGCTGGCTGCTGGTGGCCCTGGGTTATCCATCTGCTCTGCCTGTATGGATGCAGCAGCGTGAGCAATCTCACCTGCGGCTTCCCTCTCGTTTGTCCTTTCCCCACCCTTCTTCCTCTCGGCTCCCGTGTATCCAGGTCCTTCCGCGCTGCCGTTACCCGGAGCGGGGGAGCTCCCGGTTCACCTCCTGCTGAGCTGAGCCCAGCCGAGCTGAGCCAGGGAGATAATGGAGCTCAGGGCAGTGGTGGCCACGCTGGAGAGCGGGGAGCAGGACGCCGTGCTCAAGGTGCTTCAGGTCTACAACCGGGAGGTGAGTGAGGTCCCAGCCTCTCCTGCGGTGGGGTTTGTGACCATGGGTCCCCGCGGAGCACGTCTGCCTGCGTGTTACTGCCAGCACATGGACGGGCTGCTTCTGTTTTCCCTGCGGATGGGCTGTTGCCTGGTGTTTGGTTGGGGAGCAGCTGAGCAGCCTCTCGTTCTCTTGGTTCCTTTCTGTATTGCAAGTAAAGGGTGGAGAAGGGCAAAGGGGTTATTCTTGTAATTATTGTTATTGAGCTATCAAGTAAAACCTGGAGGGAAATCTGGGTGCAGACCAAGCAGGAGAAGCCTTTATGTTAAGGCAAGGTTTTGAGATGAGTTTTGGGGCCTGGGAAGGCTGCAGGTGAAGTGGTTGTTGTGATTTGCAAGTAAAAGATCACAGGAGGGCAGGGATGGGGCTGCTGGAGCCGGGTGCAGGTGCCTGCTCTGAACTGGGGGTAGAGGACATCAAAACAGGAAACTGCCCCATCCCTGGCAGTGTTCGAGGCCAGGCTGGACACAGGGGCTTGGAGGAAGCTGCTGCAGTGGAAGGGGTCCCTGCCCGTGGCAGGGGTTGGAGCTGGATGGGCTTTGAGGTCCCTTCCAACCCAAACCATTCTGTGGTTCTAAGAACAGTAGGGAAGCAGAGGGGGAAGCACTTTGAGCTTCAAAGTGGCACAGGGGGATCTGTGGGGGTAAATCCCATCACAAATAGACTCTGGTTGTCAGGGAAATCTTCAGGGTTCCCACCGGGGCGGGGGGCCCTGCAGAGCTCCTGACTCAGCCTGCACCACCCCGAGTAGGAGGGGAGCAGCGGGGAGAGCCGGGAGCCTTGTGCAGGGGTGTGCAAGAGGAGAGTGAGGCTCTTCCCAGCTTTGAAACTGGGGAGATGTGGCTGAGAAGGAGCAGGTCCCTCCTGGATGTTGCTCCATAGGAGTAACATCACCTGTTCCAGGTGTAACGCTGGAGGAGCTGGAAGTGCTGCCAGAGTTCCGCGTGTGGCCAGCCTGAGGTACCAGATATGGGTTTTTCTGTTGTCCTTTGCTGGTGCTGCAGTGTAGGAAGCTGTGAGGGTGGCAGTGGTTCTGCTGGGCTGTCGGGAGCAATCAGAGGGGGCTGTGATGCTGCAGATGAACTGAGCAATCTCCTTGCCTCATTTTTACTGCAGTCAACGGTGCTGCACCCTCCTTGTGGGATACGTTTGAATTCACTGTTGCAGGCTCAGTCAGTCATTGCCAGGAGTAAACTACAGCTAAAGCAAAGCCACAAGTATGCAAAATAGACACGAATGGGGCTACAGGAGCGTGCCAAGAGGGTGCAGTGGGAGAGCACAAGTGCCCTGGTTGCCTGCAGAGCACATCAGCTCCAGGACTGGACCCCCAGTTCCTCAGAGTGAGGGGCAGCAGGAGAGGGCACCCTGTGAAGGCTGAAGGCTCTGCAGCAGCCTGTTGGTGTTGTGTTATCCACCACGGTTTGGTCTAGGCTGGCAGGACCAAAGCCATCCCTAGGACCTTGGTGCTGGGGCACGGTTAAGCTGCACACTGGATCTTCCGCTGTTAAGCAGCCAGGAATTGGCAGCGCATTAAAAAGGTGGCAGGAGAGACTGCACTTGTGGAATGAGGGAGTCAGGGGGCACCTGGGATCTCCAAAGCCCCGAGCAGCCAGTCCTGGGCTGGAGGAAGGCAATGGGCAGCTCATATAATGTGGTAAATACAGTGGGAGATGAGCTCGGTCCTTGAGACCCTGGATGGGATACCCTGGAGTTGCCATCCCTCAAGAGAGAATAAATGCAGGGCGTGAGGATGCCTGGTTGTGGTGATCCCTGCCCTGAGCAGCTCCACAGGGATGAGTGGTGTCAGTCAAAGGTGGGAGCTGGTCAAGGAAAGTGATCTGCTGGAGGTGGAGAGATCAGGTCTCTTGTGCTTAAAGAATGGGACCTCCCCCCAGGGGTCTGTTTGCAGGTAACAAGAAGTGCTTTCTGTTGGTCAGGAGGAGGAACAGTAAATGTCAAGGGGAGAATTGTGTAGGCACAGCTCGGTGGTGTCACGGAGCAGAGAACTGTGGCTGTTATGGGATAAGAAGCTCTTCCCTGTGAGGGTGCTGAGGCGCTGGCACAGGGTGCCCAGAGAAGCTGTGGCTGCCCCATCCCTGGCAGTGTTCAAGGGCAGGTTGGACACAGGGGCTTGGAGCAAGCTGCTCCAGTGGAAGGGGTCCCTGCCTGTGGCAGGGGGTGGAGCTGGAGGAGCTTTAGGGTCCCTTCCAAGCCAAACTAGGCTGGAATTCTGATTTCTGAATCCTCTTTCCTCCAGTGCCTGGGCTATCTGGTTCTCGTCTGTCTCACAGACGGAGGTTCTCCGAGCACTGATTCCCTGCCTCTGCTGGGGGCTGCTCTTGAGGGGGTGCTTGCTTTGGGGCAGTTTGGTTTCAGACCTGCCCTGCCCAGGGCCATGGGTTTGTGCGTTTCTAACCTGCTGTTTGTTTTCCATGGTGTTGTTCTCCCCCACAGAAATCTCAGTGCTTCACCTTTGACGATGAGGAGCGGGAAGAGAGGAAGGTGCGCACAGGCTTTGCTGTCTTCCTCTGGCTGTGTGTGTGAATGTGCTGCTGTTGGTACTCCTGTGCAGCAGGTTTGGTGCTGGCAGCTCCTTGGGGAAAGAAAGGAGTGTTTTCATTAGCTTGGTGAGGGAATGGGGTGCTCAGAGCATCTGCCTGGCTGTTCCCATCAGTAGGTGGTGGTTTAGGATGAAGGTCAGCATCCTTCCAGCATCAGCAAGCCCTCTGTGTCCTGCAGACATGCAGTCCCAGCCATGGGTGTGATCCTCTGTGGCATGGCTCTGCCAGGCCAAGGCCACAGCAGCGTGCAGGGCTCCAGAGGGGTTATGTGAGGCAGCTGCAGGCTTTGGCTGAGGCTCTCTATTAACAGATGCTTTGAGCTGCTGTAATCTGGCCCTCAGTGGAAGGAAGCTCTCCTGCCTGTTCATTTCTGCTCTTGCCAGGGCAGACCTGTGTGTGGCTGCACATGGCTGATGGCCTTCTCTGCATCGATAAGTCAGTTTTTCCTGACAGAGCCTGGATTATTTTCCATCTGGTCCAGCCCATTGGTTGGTTGTGCCAGTGCCTGTGTTAGCACAGCAAGTATGGACCATGCAGCCAGGGTGGAGCACAGGACCCCTCTGTCAGCTGATGCAGGGTGCAGCTTTTCCAGGTACAGCCAGATGCACAGGACCAGATGTCCCAGGATCTGAGCTCTCTGCCCTGCTTGTCCGGCTGCTTGGGCAGGGACAGTCACAGTCACACAGCCTTGGGGTGCTCCACTTTTGTGGTGTAAGTCATGAAGCACAGATGGAGCATCACCATGTAGCTCCTGGTGCTCGGTTCTTGGAAGGGTTTAGCCTTGGGAACACTCTCCAAGATCTCTTTAACCTGAGTCTAAAATTCATTCCTTCCCTCGGTCCTTTTATCATCACCACATCCAGCTGGGGCTGTGTTAAGGCAGTGACAAATCTTGTTGTGATCTTGAGTTCGTTCCCCCTAGTGCTGTGCACGGAAAGACACATGCTCTGGTGTTGTTAGAGATGCAGGGAGACCTGACCTCACCAGGGTGTCGGTGTCAGTGCAGTGGGTGCCTGGTGTAACATGAAGTGTTGCTACACGTGGCTCAGGTCAGGCTGTGCCCGGTGTGTGGAGTTCCCTTTGCTCCTCCTCGTGCCTCGCTCGCTGGCACGCACGGTGCTGTTACCCACGAGGGTTTGATTCTCTGCTCTTGTGAATCCGTGTTAGTGGAGCTCTGCCAGCCTGTCCCTGCAGAGGATCTGGGCTAGTAGGTCTGCAGACAGCACTGAGATAATGCTTATTTGAATCTCCCGAGGTCTTATCACCTCCTTTCTGAGGGCATCACGTGCTGCTCTCACCTCACTTAGGTCCATTCCCCTCCCTTGGTAATTTCTGATGCATCTCTCAGCCTTGTCAGTCTGTTTCTGGAGCACCCAGAGCAGATGCCTCCCTAACCTGAAGGCTCTGGGTGGGAGCGGAGGGCTGCTGTTGAGTTGGTTGTTAGTGAAGCCTTAAGGGATGCTTTTGCTCTGTCCTCTTTGCTTAATGCAGCTGTCAAGTAAACCCCATTACCCTGGGTGAGGCTGCAATATGGGGTAGTAGCAGTTGTCTCTTCATCCTCCCCCCTTACATCTCATACTCTCTCCCAGCCACTCTTTGTTTCTTGCTTGAACTGGGCCAGGATCAGATGCCAGAGCCAAGCACTTGCTGGGTGCACCCCTGAACCAGCGCCGTCAGCAGGCCCATCTCTAGATGATGCTCCTATCTCCCAGGGCAGTGTTACAGGGTGCGGGGAGCCCTGTCAATGGCAGAGCACGAGGCATTCCTTGGTTCCTTGTTCCCAACGGCACAGAAAATGGCCCAGCTGCTGATCAGGTTCCTGGAGAGAGAGCTGCAGCCGTCCTGCCAGGTCACCTGCCTGGAGAGCATCCGCATCCTGTCCCGCGACAAGTCCTGCCTGGAGCCCTTCACCACCAAGGACGGGCTGCGGACCCTCTCCAGGCACGCGGGCATCGCTTACTCCGAGGAGCTCATCCGGGAGGTCCCCGACTTGGACGTGATCCTGGAGTCCCTCAAGTGTCTCTGCAACGTGGTGTTCAGCAGCCCGCGGGCGCAGGCGCTGGCGGCCGAGGCGCGGCTCGTGGTGGGCCTGGCCGGGCGCATCAAGCTCTACAACGAGAGGAGCCTTCCCCACGAGGTGAAGTTCTTCGACCTGCGGCTGCTGTTCCTGCTGACGGCGCTGCGGGTGGACACGCGCCAGCAGCTGGCCCAGGAGCTGCGGGGCGTCAGCCTCATGGCGGATACCCTGGAGCTCACCCTGGGTGTGAAGTGGATGGACCCCTACGAAGTTGCCGCCGAGGAGGGGCTTCTCCCACCTTTGCCTCGGCAGGAGACGGAGCGCGCCATGGAGATCCTCAAAGTGCTCTTCAACATCACCTTCGACTCCAGCAAGAGGGAGGTGGATGAGGTAAGTCCCTGGTGTTCCCCCGTACACGTGCCAGTCTCCAGGCTGGCTTTCACTGCTGCCTTTCTCCTCACTTGCGTGTCCTCTGTTACAAACTGGCCCTCGTGCAGCCCCTGGGACACAGAGGGGTGGCAGGAGCCTCGTGTGTCAGAGCTTCCTCCCTTGGGCACTGCCTCTGTCCAGTGCATTAGTGACACGTCAGACTTCCAGAGCATTGCACTTTACAAGCTGGGTGTTTCCCTTCTTAATGACACTGTTCACTGCACAAGGGCAGAGCAGACACCCCAGTAACTGACTTCTGAGCCTGGCCTGGTGCTCCTTCGCTTTCTGGACCAGGTCAAGGGAGGATGTGATGGAGAACACCTCTGGCTAACCCATGGGGCTGGTTTGGGGCCACTTCCAGCCTTTGGCTCAGTGTCCCAGAGCGAGGGGAAAGGTATAGGGCAGCAGGGAATCTGTGAATTGTCCTGAGAGGAGAACTGGAGGCTGCTTTCACTTGAGCCACCCTGCAGTCAGTTGCAGGCTGCTGGATGGGGCTGTGGGCTCAGGGCAGGCTCTGGGATGTGGAGGATCCCTTTCCTGATGCAAGTTTCCATTCTCTGTTTGGGGGCAGGAGGATGCTGCTTTGTACCGGCACCTGGGGGCCCTCCTGCGTCACTGCCTCATGATCTCTGCTGATGGAGAGGACAGGACAGAGGAGTTCCACAGGTCTGTTAGAGCACTTGGTCACCATCTCACTAGCAACAGGTCTGCTAAGGCAGATCCTGCCTGACTTTGGCTTTAGCATCCTCTGCTTGTGTGGCGATTGCTGAGGTGACTGTGATGAGCAGGTCAGACACCAGAGCGGGTACCTTTGGTCCAGCCTGGTGGACTAGCCCTGTCCTTCCTGCAGACACCTTGTCTGTGCTGCCACCACAAAGAGGAGTGTGTTGTGTTCTCCCAGCCTGCCCGAGGACTGTGTTCCATCCCCTTCCATCCCCTGCCTCCGACCTGCTCAAGTGCCACCACTTGTGGCCTTTGCCAGGGCAGATATCTGGTGCTTTGATTAGAGCCTGTGGTGTGTCAGTCCCTTAAGCCAGGCTGAGGAGTTGCCTGGGGCACATCACTGAGCATTCCTGGCCTCCTGGCCCGGGGTGTCAGCGCTGAGCTGGTGACACTGCCCTCAGTCAGGAATCCCAAGCAACGCACTGAATGGCTATTGGGGTGAGAAGGAATGATAGTGATACAGCAGGAGGCCCTGGAGAAAGACCTGCTTGGCCTCCGTGTCAGGATCCATGGTTTCTCAGCTGTCAGCAAAGTCTCTTTAGACTCCCAGAACATAGTTGTGACCCCAAAAGCAGTTTAATTTATCCCCTCTCAGTGGTGTGAGGAGCCTGGGGTGCCGTCCAGAGGCAGCTTGGATCTCAGGGTCCCCTCACCGCTGGAAGTTAGCGATGAGCCTCCATCTCTGGAGAGCTGAGGGACTTCCGTGAGCAAAGCCCCATGACTGTGTTCTCTCCTCCCTTCCTTGCCCAGCCACACGGTTAACCTGCTGGGCAACCTGCCCCTCAAGTGTCTGGATGTGCTCCTCACCCCCAAAGTGCGGCCCGGCTCCCTGGAGTACATGGGTGTCAACATGGATGCGGTCAGCATCCTGCTGGACTTCCTGGAGCGCCGCCTGGACAGGGTGAGTTGTGAGGCTGCTTCCCTGCTCGCTTGCAGCAGCTCACTGTAGGGCACCCTGCCTGCAGCCCGGGAAGGCCCCACAGCACACGGGGGGCTTGGAGACAGCCCTTTATGGAAGGGGCAGCTTTTAACGGAGGCCAAACTTGGGGCTGGTGGGGCTAAACCAGTGTCTGTTGACCGACAAAGTGGCTGTGTCACCAGTTGGTGGGCTGGGGGCAGTGAGGCTGGTTGAGCAGTAGGGGATTAGCTGCGTGGTGGGAAATGGGTTCTGTTTCACTCAGCTCAGTAGCGACCTGGTGAGCAGCTTCTGAAGCCTCGGTTTGTGTTGGTTTCAAGCCAGCTGTGGTTTCAGCCTCTGGAGTCCTTCCAAAGGGCCTTCACGTTTTGCCACTGCACTTCTCCACTCTGGATGCCCCACAAGTATTTCTAGCAGCTGGAAGCTGCTGTGCTATGGAGCAGGGCTCAGAAAGCCGTGGGTTTGGGAGTGGTGGAGCACTGAAACTGCTGCGGCAGAGGCTGGGAGCTTTGATGTCCAGCTCTTTCCCTGATGTCTGCACTCACGTTCTCTGCCGCAAGCCAGAGGGGCTGAGCTCAGTGTGTCTCATGTGGTGCTGGTTTTGTGGTGCCTCTGCAGGGACACAAGCTGAAGGAGAGCCTGACCCCAGTGCTGAACCTGCTGACGGAGAGCGCCCGTGTCCACCGCCAGACCAGGAAGTTCCTGAAGGCCAAGGTGCGCTGAGGCTCAGGCACCAGCTGAGGGATGCTGCTCCCAGGAGAGAGGGTCCAGGGAACACACCTGGTCACTGCCACCCTCCCAACAGGGCCCCGTGTCTCTGCTGGGCTCTGGTCTGGGGGGGTTGAGGACTTTGATACCCGCAGTGTTTTGTCCACGTCTCTGTGCATTGCTCGTTGGGGCTGACCACACGTGCGTTGTCCCCTCCTGACCTGCTCCAGCCCCACTGATCCCCTTCCCCACGGCCCCACAGGTGCTGCCTCCGCTGCGGGACGTGAGGAACCGGCCGGAGGTGGGGAACGCGCTGCGGAACAAGCTGGTGCGGCTCATGACCCACATCGACACGGACGTGAAGCACTGCGCCGCAGAGTTCCTCTTCGTGCTCTGCAAGGAGAGCGGTGAGCGCAGGCAGGGGCTGCCCTGGGACAGGGAGCGTGGGGTGGGCGACCCTCTGCATCCAGTGGGAACCTCTGTTCCCGTGGGCCGGGTACACCGAGTAGGAGGAAGTGGAAAGCATCCCGGGGCGCTGTGGGGAGGAGCTGCTGTGTCTCATGCCAGCGGTGAGTGAAGAGCTGTGCTGGAGGGCACCCCACCACCCTGTTCAGACTCTCACCCATGGGTGTTGTACTGCCCTTCCTGGGGCAAAGTGGGAGCCTGTTCCATGGCAGAGCCCAAAGGAGTGTTGGCATCTCCAGGTCTCCGTGGCCCTGCTCCAGTCTTGCTGTTGGGGCACACACAGGGGCAGATGGGCAGGAGCAGGAGGAAAGCACAGGGGGGTTGGTGTCTCCCCATTGACAGCAGCAGAGGGAAGCACAGGGGGTTGGTGTCTCCCCACTGACACCAGCAGAGGGAAGCACAGGGGGTTGGTGTTTCCCCATTGACAGCAGCAGAGGGAAGCACAGGGGGTTGGTGTCTCCCCATTGACAGCAGCAGAGGGAAGCACAGGGGGCTGGTGTCTCCCCATTGACAGCAGCAGAGGGAAGCACAGGGGGTTTGTGTCTCCCCATTGGCACCAGCAGAGGGAAGCACAGGGGGTTGGTGTCTCCCCTCTCCCGCAGTGTCCCGGTTTGTGAAGTACACGGGCTATGGGAATGCCGCGGGGCTGCTGGCAGCACGAGGCCTCATGGCCGGGGGCCGGGAAGAGGGAGAGTACTCGGAAGATGAGGACACAGACACGGAGGAGTACAAAGAGGCAAAGCCCAAGTAAGAAGCCTATTCCCTGTCCAGAGCCCCCCTTTCCTACACCACCTCCCACTCCCGCTCTGTCCCCCTCTTCATCTGTTCTCTGCCATCTCCCTTGTCCTGCCCTTCCACAGGCACTGTGTGTAGGACACAGGAAGCAGAAGCACCACGTTGCACTGTGCCAGCCCTGGGGACTGGCAGCACTTACAGGCAGTCTTGACACTGTGCTCCTCTGCTCAGTAGAACCCAGCTCTTCAAAGAGCCCTTTGGTCACTGCTCTGCTTTTCCCCCTCCCCTGCCCTGAACCTGCTCTTCTTCTTGCAGCATTAACCCCGTGACGGGCCGAGTCGAGGAGAAGCTGCCCAACCCCATGGAAGGGATGACTGAGGAGCAGAAGGAATATGAGGCCATGAAGTTAGTGAACATGTTTGACAAACTGTCCAGGTACCAGACAGCTCTGTCTGTTCGTGTCTGCATTAGCACCCGTGTGGCTGTGATCTGCATTTGCCACAGGCCTTTCTAAGGCCACCACTGACTGAAGGGAGGTGAGGGGGAGCGGGAGATACGTGGGGAAATGCTTCCTTGAGCTGGGCCCCACTGGTGCAGAGGGAGGCATCCCCAGCCCCACACACCCCTGGCACAATGCTGTACTGTGAAATCCCTCCATGTGCCTGTGCTTCCAAGCACTGGGACTGCTCTGAGGGCCCTGAGCAGGGAACACGTGTGCTCCCAGCCATCCCCTCACCGTGCTGGGGGCTTTATGGCCAGAGCTGTCCCCTGCTTCTCAAAAGGGATTCTTGGTGGTGGCCTGGGGTGGTTCTGGGCTGCCTTGGGCAGGCCCCATGTTTCTGCTGTAGCCCACGTCCGTTTCCATGCTGGCTGCTGCAGCCCGGTGCTTCCTTTCCCCTGTCCCTGGCTGCAGAGAGCAGGTGATCCAGCCCATGGGCATCACACCCGGCGGCAGCCTGGCACCCATGCACAGCGCCCTGCGCGACGCCGCTGAGGACAGGTCCTCGTCCGACTCGGACCTGGGGCTGGACTGAGCTGGGAGCCCCCCCAGTGCTCCGGGGCTGGTGCTGCACCAGAGGCTGGTGCTGGTCCAGGAGCCTCCCTGCAGGGTCTGGATCCAGCATGGAGCCCTCGACAGCCCCTCACAGGAGCACCTCCTGCCTCTTCCCAGCTCCACACCTCCTGCCCGAGGCCTGGCTCCACCTTGAGGATTCCCCACTCCAAACTTTTCCAGGACTTCCCAGTAGGATGTTTTTAATGCAGGATATTCAGCAGGAACGGGCTGGGGGAGGATCTTGGTCCCACCACCGGGTTCAGCAGCCTGCAGAGCACTGTGTGCATGTGCAGCCCTGTCAGTGTGCATGGGAAAGTGTGGCCAGCCCGGGGTGGGGGGGAGCTGCTCCCTGGCATCACAGCTGGGAATGGGGGGCTGAGTGGTGGCTCCCAGCAGTTCCGGGGGGCAGCCCGTGGGTGCAGCCATGGCCCTGCAGGCAGCTCTGTGTGCATGTGGTGCTGTCTGTGCACATCAGCAGTGTGGACGTGTGAGTGGCAGGAGTGAGGGCAGCTGCAGCGGGTGCAGTGCAGGGAGCAGGTGAAGCCTCTGTGTGAAGCTTCCAGCATTCCCATTGCCAACATTCCCATGCAGTTCCCACCCCCGTGCTGGCCGGGAGCAGGCTGGCACTGTGCAGTGTTCCTGTGGCCTCCCAGCTCAGTCTCTGCCATGGGCCTTTCCCCATCCTGAGCTTCCCAAAGGAAAGGGCAGGCTGTGCTCTGTGGGCTGCCCTCGCCTGCCTTGGCTTCCCCAGGGACACCCGGGGCTGGTGCCTGTCCTGTCCCCCCCGCTGTGGCTTTAGGTTTGTCTTGTTCTGGTTGGTTTTATTTCTTTTTAAAGAGAACTATTTTAAAGGAAACCTTTTAGTCTGTGTCACGTGCCAGAGCTCCCCAACTCCCTGTCACGAGTAGGAATGCAGAAGTGATGCTGGAATAAAGAAACCACAACGAGCTCGTGGCAGTGGTTCATGGGGCGCAATGGCCTGAGCAGGTCAGGGATGTTCTTTGGCTCTTTCTGTGCACGCGGTTCTGTTCTGGCCACTCTGAGGTGAAAGTGTAGCATTAAACTGGGGCTGAGCCAGGACCTGTCCCTGCACCACCCCCAGGTATAACCCAGGGGAGCATCCCACCATTAAACCAAGCATTGAAGCTTGAGGGTTGTGAGCCAGCCTCAGCTCAAGCGCTGGGCACGGAGTTGCTCACAGGATGTGGCTCAGCTCCTGGCCGGATGCTCTGGAGCAGTTGATGGTTGATTCCACTGCTGGGTTCTGCCTGTGCAATGGGCACCGCTTGAGCTTCTCATTGGGGTGGGGCCAGAGAAGGGCAATGGAGCTGGTGCAGGGCCTGGAGCCCAAGTGTGATGGGGAAGGGCTGAGGGAGCTTGGGGGTTCAGTGTGGAGAAGAGAAGGCTCAGGGGGGACCTGATGGCTGCCTACAAGTGCCTGAGAGGAGGATGGAGCCAGGAGGGGCTGGGCTCTGCTCCCAAGGAACAAGGGATGGGACAAGAGGAAATGGCCTCAAGCTGCACCAGGGCAGGTTTAGATGGAGCTGAGGACCAATTCCTGTCCCAAAAGGATGTGGTGCTGCACTGGGATATGCATGGTACCTCTGCTGGGCCCGTTTGGGAATGAGCAGGACATCACCGTGGTGCTGTGATCCCACCTCTCCCTGGGACGGTGCTTACAGGGAGGGTAAGGGGCAGTGAAGGGAGCGGTGTTGGGGACAGTGTGTGCCACTGAGGAGATGGGAGGTTACAGAAACCCCTCGGGTGAGAGCGGCAGAAGAATGAAACTCGTTTATTACTAAATGGTTAACATTGCACTGATTCCAAACAGCAGCTTGAGGTGGCTGCAGTGACCAGGCCCCGGGGCAGCTTGTCCCTATGAGCAGAGGCTGCATCTGAACAATGAGCCTGCAGAGCTGGCACCTGAGGACTGCAGACCGGGTCTGAGGAGGAGCTGCTGAAGGTGGAGATGCTCTGCCCTGGGGGGAGCTGGAAGACTTCGCTCCAGGTGCTCCTGCCCTCAGGCCTGACCCTCACAGCGCTTCCAGCTCTTGCTCCCTGAGAGCCCAAACCCTGTGAGGGGCCCTGAGGTTGGATGGCTCGGGAAGAGGGAGCCCCAGGCAGCAGCTGGGTGCTCGAGCCTCCTCTGACGTGCAGGTCCTGGGGCGCGCTGGTGCGGTCCGTGCTGGAGCTGTGCTGGGCTGGTGGCGTGGCAGCCGGAGCCATGGGAGAGGTTAAGTGTCCCTCAGTGGTGCCAGATGAGGAGGGAGCAGCGCTCGGTGCCTGCTCCGGTGTCTCAGGTAGGGAAACCTTCATGGGCTCTGCTCCGGCACTGCTGCGCTGGTGGCCTCTGCCATGGCTCCACCAGGACCGCCTGCTCTGCCCGTGCTGGTGTCACCGCGGCTCCTCTGCCCAGCGCCCGGCCCTCTGCAGCAGCTCCTACTTGAACTTGGCATCCAGCTAAAAGCAGAGCAACCACAGCGTCGGCTGGGCCCTTCCAGCTCCCGTCAGCACCAATCCCCACCGGGAGGAGCAGCCTGGGGTTTGTGCTTTACCCCATTGGCATCACTTCATCCCCCGGGATCTAAACCAAGGGCTGGCCTAGCACGCTGCAGAATGGTTTGTAGTGGAAAGCAAAAGCCTGACCCTTCCTGCGCATCCCAACCCCAGCGTGTGCTGCAGGTAAGGACAACCTGAGCGCTGGCTTGGAATCTTGAAGCCAGGTTTTGTCCTGGGTTGAAGTCGCACAGGGAAGGTGCATTTGTGAAGTACAACTGGCTTCTCACTGCAGGGAGCAGGCAGCAGCGCTGTGCCCACGTGCATAAGTGGAGGCTGGCCCAGCCCAGGAGCTACAACTGCTGCTTCAAAGAAGCCTAGAAAGTGTTTGATGCCAAATGTGGAAGGATCTTCCCAGCAGCCCTAAAGCAATGCAGTCATCACCCCTAGCACTAAACTTGGGATCATTAAGATCTTGCTCTCGTGTCATTTCTTACTCTTGAAGACCTCAGATCCCAGATGTAGGAATGGGGGCACAGGGAAATAAAGGATCAACGGGATAAAAAGAGAACTAAATTATCACTGGGGAAAAATCTAGTTAACAAACATGCTGCGGGGTGGAGTGAGCACCCTCTGGCCTGGCTGGCACCACTGCACCTTGTCCAGTCTCACACAGCACCATTGGAGCCTCCCTTTGTTACTGCTGTTATTTCTCCAGTGACCAGAAAACCCACTAGAAATGGAACCAAAGCAATGGAATGAATGTACAGGTAGAGGGAAGCTGCACTGCGGTTACTAGCTCAGTAACTTCATGTTCGTTTGCCATCAGCAGTGTCACAGCCTCCTGGCCAGGGAAAAAGCAGCTTAAACCCAGCCCAGAGCAGCAGCTCAGGCTGCTGGAGCTTTCCACAGCAGGCACTGCCTCAAGAGCACCCCTGTTTGCTGTCTCTGGTGCTGAGTCCTGCTGTTCCCCACACAGGGGATGGGGGATGTTCTCGCCAGCCACCTCCAGCTCAGGAGCTGCACCTTCACCTGCAGAGCTCTGTTGGTGCCTTTGGGAACAAGCCAACACCCAGAGGAAACCAATGGAAACCTCTGCAGCACCCAAGTGGGTCATGGCTTGGAGAAGCCCCAGCGTGCTCCTACCCAGCCTAGAGCCTGGCCCTTCCCCTGCTCTCCCTGTTTCACCTGAGGCTGGTGCATCCTTCCCTGCTGGACCCCTGCGTCTTCCCCTCCTGGACCCCTCCCCTGCTGGACCCCTGTGTCCTCCCCTCCTGGACCCCTCCCCTGCTGGACCCCTGCATCCTTCCCTGCTGGACCCCTCCCCTGCTGGACCCCTGCGTCCTCCCCTCCTGGACCCCTCCCCTGCTGGACCCCTCCCCTGCTGGACCCCTGCGTCCTCCCCTCCTGGACCCCTCCCCTGCTGGACCCCTGCATCCTCCCCTGCTGGACCCCTCCCCTGCTGGACCCCTGCATCCTCCCCTCCTGGACCCCTCCCCTGCTGGACCCCTGCGTCCTCCCCTGCTGGACCCCTCCCCTGCTGGACCCCTGCGTCCTCCCCTGCTGGACCCCTCCCCTGCTGGACCCCTCCCCTGCTGGACCCCTGCGTCCTCCCCTGCTGGACCCCTCCCCTGCTGGACCCCTGCGTCCTCCCCTGCTGGACCCCTCCCCTGCTGGACTCCTCCCCTCCTGGACCCCTGCATCCTTCCCTGCTGGACCCCTGCGTCCTCCCCTGCTGGACCCCTGCGTCCTCCCCTCCTGGACCCCTGCGTCCTCCCCTCCTGGACCCCTGCATCCTTCCCTCCTGGACCACTGCAACACCCAGCCACGTGCTCACCCTCCCTGCGAAGCAGCCCTGGGGTTGGGTTTGGGGCCTCTTGTTGCTTTTTAACCTTTCTGCACCTCTTTGGGGCCCTGTGAGTGCAGGCTGCAGGCCGGGCAGTGTCTGTGGAGCAAGTGCAGCCCCTGCAACACAAACTTGCTCCCCCGGCACAACTCCAGCCCGAGCAAGGAAGAGGCTGAGGGAGGCAGGGAGGGAGATGCAGCTCTGAGCCCTTCCCACCTTTTCCTTCTCCTTCTGGATGAGCGCCTGCAGCTCCCGGCTCCAGCCCAGCAGCTCCACCAGCGCCTGCACCCCGCGGACCACGTCCCCGAGCTGGGCCACATCGTTGTGGCGCTGCTGCCACGCAAAGGGGCCCACGAGGTCTCTGTTGATGAGCACCCGGGGAACAGAGCCACGCACGGCCCCGGCCAGGCTGGCAAAGGGCTCCACCTGCAAGCGGAGGGGCAGGGAGAGCATCACCCACTGAGGGCACGAATTCACCCCACCCCGAGCTGTGAGCGCTGCGTGGAACCGGTCCCCACTGTGGGTGCCAGCAGGGGCCTTCCCTCGGGTACCACAAAGCTCAGCTCTCGCTCTGCTTTCACAGAGCACTGGGCGTTTCCAGAGGGTCTCGGGTGCAGGCACCCCCTTTCTCTCCTGCCACCTCAAATTCTACCTCCATAACCCCGCTTCTTCCCTTCTCCTCTAAGCCCCTCTCCTCCAGGTCCCGCCAGGCCCTTCGTGTCCCCCTGGGCCGCAGACCTCCAGGGATGTTCCAATGACGAAGAGCAGGTCAGCCATGGGGAAGTCGGCCACGTGCAGGAGGAAGCGCTGCGGGAGCTCCTCACCGAAGAACACGATGTCAGGCTTGATGACCCCGGTGCAGACGGGGCAGCGAGGGACCCTGTCCGCCATCACGTCCCCCTGCAGCGAGAGTGAACCCACAGCCAGGGGCAGAGCCACCACAGCCCCAAGCCTCAGCCCCTCCATCAAGCCCCTGGGCCTGAGGGCAGTCACAGCCCACCAAGGTTCTCCTCCTCCTCCTCTCCCTCCTTGCATTGAGCTGTGGCGATGCCCATCTGCGAGCACTCACCCTGAAGTCCTCTCCTGGGAAGTTCCTTCGACACACGGTGCAAGAAGCAGTGGCAAAGGTGCCGTGGGCTTCCACCAGCCTGTCGGGAGGGATCCCAGCAACTGGGCACGGCACAGGCGAAAGGAGCAGCTCAGCACAGGGTGAAACCAGGAATTCCACTGGGCCTGTCCCAGCCCTGCCTCCTGCTCTGCTTCCCACCCTCACCCCTTCCCTGCCTGCTGCTGCTGAGCAATGGGGAAGGGAGAGCTCACCCCGCTCCAGCCCATCGATGTTCTGGGTGTAGAGGCGCAGGAGCAGCCCCTTGTCGTGCAGCAGCCTCAGGAAGTAGTGGGCGTAGTTGGGTCTGTAGTTGCCGGGGTAGAGCTCCTTGGCCAGAGTGAAAAAGGGCTTGGGGTTGGTAAAGAAATAGGCGAGTTCAAAGATGGCCTCGGGGTAGGGGATGTTGTACTGCTCCAGGTTACTGTAGAGCCCGCTCCCCGGGGACCTGCAGAGGGGAGAGGGGCTGGAGTCAGGGGCAGAAGGGATGACCCAGTGCCAGCGGTGGATGTGCTCTGCTCTGGGGCCAGGCCGAGAGAGCTGGGCTGGGTCAGCCTGGAGAAGAGAAGGCTCCTGAAGGGGAGACCTCAGAGCAGCTCCAGTGCCTAAAGGGGCTGCAGGAAAGCTGGAGAGGGGCTTGAGACAAGGGCCTGCAGGGACAGGCCAAGGGGAATGCCTTGAACCTGCCAGAGGGGAGACTGAGATGAGCTCTTAGGCAGAAGCTCTTCCCTGGGAGGGTGCTGAGGCGCTGGCACAGGGTGCCCAGAGAAGCTGTGGCTGCCCCATCCCTGGCAGTGTTCAGAGGCTTGGAGCAAGCTGCTCCAGTGGAAGGGGTCCCTGCCCGTGGCAGCGGTTGGAGCTGGAGGAGCTTTAAGGTCCCTTCAAGCCAAACCAGGCTGGGATTCTGGGACTTAACCATCCTGAAGACCTGGGCCAAGGCATGGCCCCACACCTGGCTGGAAAAGGAGGAGCAGCAGGACTGGGGACTCCTGTGCCCAGCCTGGCACAGAAAAGCAAAACAAGGGGCAGAGAGTGGCAGGGACCAGCACCAAGCAGAGGTCTTGGCTCTCCCAGCACTGGTGAGGGAATTAATGGAGGTGGAACCTGAAGTCCGGGATGCCGCTGGGGGTGCTGATCCCAGCTCCAGCCATCACCACCACCCGGTGACATTCCCTCTTCCGCATGAGCTCCGCCACATCCCGCAGGGTGAGCTGCTGCTTCCCTCCGTCATCTCCCCACCGGCCCAGCCCCAGGACGGCTCCGGCGGCCGCAGACAGGGAGAGGAGCCTTGTCCCTGGGATCCTGCGGGAACAGGGTGAAGCAGAGCCCGGGCTGGCAGCGGCTCAGCCGGGAACTGCCCTGGCCCTTCCGTCCGTCCACCCCAGCCCCGGGGCCGGTATTGCCATTGCGCTCTATGCGGATCCCAAATCCATGCCCAGTACCCGGGAGCGGGGTGGGCACGGGGCTGCGGAGCAGCCGCGCTGGGGCTCCCAGGTTGATTTGCGCTGCTCGGGGGGGGCAGAGCTGAGTTCCAGCGGTTCCCGCAGGGCGATGCTGCCACCGGGGACAGCGCTGCCCCGGTTACCGGCGGCATCTTCACCTGTTCCCCATGCCCGGTGCCAGGGGAGCCGCCGGTAACCGGGGCTGAACCGACGGGGCAGGGGCAGGCGGGGGAAGCCCCAGGCGGGAGCCGCCGGGACCGCGGCGCTGCCCCATTGCCCGCTGCAGCCCCCGGTGTCCCCCGGTGGATGCGGCTCCCCCGGGGCTGCCTCACCTCGGGCCCGGCGCGGCCCCCGGCCCCCGGTACCTGCGAGCGGCGGGGCCCGCGGCGCTGAGCGGGATCCGGGCCGGGCCGCGCTCCCGCAGGCTCCGCCAGGCTGCAAGGGAAGAACCGGTGAGGGGGGGACCCCGCGTTCCCCCGCACCCCCCCCGCACCCCCCCGCTCTCACCGGCCGCCAGCAGCCCCCGCCGCGCCCCGCGCTCCATGGCCGCGCTCCCCGCCCCGCGCTACCGCAGTGCCCCGAGGAGCAGCGCGGGGCCGCCGCCGCCTCCCGGCCCGGCCCGGCCCCACCGCGGGCCCCGCTCGGAGCCGGTGCGGGGGATTCGGGGGGTCCCGATGGGGCGGGGGGCGCGGACCGGGGTGCGTGATGCGTTGCCATGGTTACCGCGGTGCGGGGGGGGGTGTCACCGCGGAGCCCTACGGTACCCGGCGTGCCCCGCGCGGGCCGGAAGTGAGTGTGCAGGTCCGGAGCGCGGTCGCGCCGGGGCCGAGGCTGAGGCCGGTGTCGGTGCCGCCGCCATCATCGCCATCGCCATGAGGGACGTGCCGGGCTTCCTGCAGCAGAGCCAGAGCCAGAGCGCGGGCCCGGGGCAGGCCGCGGTGTGGCACCGCCTCGAGGAGCTCTACAACAAGAAGTGAGCGGGGCCGGAGCTGCCGCCGCACCGGGGCCTCGGCGGGGCCCAGCGGGCCGGGGGCTGAAGAGCGCTCCCGGGGGGGAGCTTGAGCGGCGGGGGCTGTGTCCGCCTCACCCCCGGGTCGTGCCCTCGGGGGGGGGGGGGGGGGGGGGGGGGGGCTGTGCCAGCGGGGAGCGTTCGGGCTTTGTCCGCGTGGGTAACGGCGGGGCGGGGGTGTCGGGACGGGGATGTCGGGATGGGAACGTAGAGTGTGGGAATGTCGGGACGGGGATGTCGGGACGGGGATGTTGGGATGGGGATGTCGGGATGGGGATGTTGGGTGTGGGAATGTCGGGACGGGGATGTCGGGACGGGGATGTTGGGATGGGGATGTTGGGTGTGGGAATGTCGGGTGCGGGAATGTCGGGACGGGGATGTCGGGATGGGAACGTAGAGTGTGGGAATGTCGGGACGGGGATGTCGGGACGGGGATGTTGGGATGGGGATGTCGGGATGGGGATGTTGGGTGTGGGAATGTCGGGACGGGGATGTCGGGACGGGGATGTTGGGATGGGGATGTCGGGTGTGGGAATGTCGGGATGGGGATGTCGGGTGTGGGAATGTCGGGATGGGGATGTCGGGATGGGGATGTTGGATGTGAGAATGTTGGGTGCGGGAATGTCAGGATGGGGATGTCGGGATGGGAATGTAGAGCGTGGGAATGTCGGGATGGGGATGTCAGGATGGGGATGTCGGGTGTGGGAATGTCGGGACAGGGATGTCAGGATGGGAATGTCAGGATGGGATGTTGAGCTGGGAATGTTGGGACAGGGATGTTGGGATGGGGATATCAGGACAGGGATGCCGGGATGGGAATGTCGGGACGGGAATGTTGGGATGGGAATGTCAGGTGTGGGAATGTTGGGATGGGGATGCCGGGATGGGAACGTCGGGATGGGAATGTTGGGATGGGAATGTCGGGTGTGGGAATGTCGGGATGGGATGTTGAGATGGGAATGTCAGGACAGGGATGCTGAGACGGGAATGTCGGGACGGGAATGTTGGGTGTGGGGCGCGGAGCCGGTGCAGGGCCCGAGCTCAGGGGTGGTTCCCATTTCTGAAGGCTCTGGCACCAGCTGACTCTGCAGGTCCTGGACTTCGTGCAGGACCCCTGCTTCGCCCAAGGGGATGGACTCATCAAGGTGAGCCTGCGCTGCTCCTGTGTGGCCGTAGCGAAGGCCAACGGCAGTGGTGCCGGCCTGGTGAACCGGGCTGTGCCAGGCCCGCCGGGCTGGGGCAGTGCCGGCTCCTGGGTGGGAGCCTGCAGGACGCGGGGGCAGTGGCGATTGCCCGGGGTTGAAGGTGTCAGTGTCAGAGGCTTCAAACTGTTCCGAAATCTCATTCACTGGAGGGGTTTTGGGGGAGGGGGGGTTGCAGGAGGAGCCTTTTTCTTCCCCTTTTGTTGCAAGGGGTTTGCAGCCACACGTGGGGATGGGTTGGGGGGGGTCTCGAATGCTTTGGGTGTTTCAGAGGTTGTTCCACCCCTTGGGAGCTTCTTACATTCATGGCCATAAGAACTTGCTCAGCACAGTCACATCTGGTCTGGGTGCTACAAGGCCGTAAGAACTCGCTCAGCACCGTCACATCTGGTCTGGGTGCTACAAGGCCATAAGAACTCGCTCAGCACAGTCACATCTGGTCTGGGTGCTACAAGGCCGTAAGAACTCGCTCAGCACAGTCACATCTGGTCTGGGTGCTACAAGGCCGTAAGAACTCGCTCAGCACCGTCACATCTGGTCTGGGTGCTACAAGGCCGTAAGAACTCGCTCAGCACGGTCACATCTGGTCTGGGTGCTACAAGGCCGTAAGAACTCGCTCAGCACGGTCACATCTGGTCTGGGTGCTACAAGGCTGTAAGAACTTGCTCAGCACGGTCACATCTGGTCTGGGTGCTACAAGGCTGTAAGAACTTGCTCAGCACGGTCACATCTGGTCTGGGTGCTACAAGGAGTCACGGGCTTTGTGGGCTTGGGTTGAAATTTGGTTTCCCAGGAGGTAGTTATTTCCATGACAAAGAGCCAAGGGTCTTTAGAGCCTCTCTGGAATGCATGCAGGGAGCGCTGGGAAAGCCTTAGCCCTGTGCCTGTGGTACAGCAGGGGCCAGCCTAGAGCAGGAGGTGCTGGATGTGGTGAGTCCTGGACCTCTCCCTGCAAGCAGGAGGAGGCTGCAGGGACAGAACTGGCTGCAGTGAGCAGGTTTTGGCTCCTGGGGTCTGTACAGAGCGCACATCCCCGTTGGATGCTCTCTGCTTTGTTGGGAAAATGGAGCGCAGTGGAAGTGGGTGTTGGAGGGGGCCTGAAGGGCCCTCTTGCCCTGACTGTTGGTGTCTTTGTGCCTGCAGCTCTATGAGAACTTCATCAGCGAGTTCGAGCACAGGTGAGTTTGTTTGCTGGAGCCCTCAGGCACCTTCTGCTGCCGGACAGCGCTCTGACAGTGAGCTTTGTGTTCCAGGGTGAACCCCTTGTCCCTGGTGGAGATCATTCTCCATGTGGTCAGGCAGATGACAGGTAAGCGTCCTCACCTCCTGCTCACAGTGCTTGTGAGAACGGGTACCTGTGAAGTTACCAGTTAATAGTAACAGCCATTAACTGGTTAATAGCAGCAGCTAAACCTTCAGCATTAGCCTGTTGTCCTGCTGGTGTATTGAAAGGGGAGGACATCACCTCAGAAAGTGTAATTGCTGCTACATGGAGTAGCAGGTCTGCTCTTTGCTGGAGGAAAGGCTGGTGAGCAGCAAGCCCGGGCTGCAGGGAGCAGTAAACTGTAGAAAACACCTTCCAGTCTTCATGAGTCCGGTATTTTTAGGCTGGGGTTTAGTTCCAGCAGGAATTCCTGATATTGCTGCTTTTCCCCTCTACTTCAGATCCCAACGTGGCCCTTACTTTCCTGGAAAAGACTCGGGAAAAGGTATGTTTGCAGCTGCTCTTTCTGGCAGTTCACTTGCAGGGATCATTTTCCATGTGGGCATTTGTGGTGCAGCTGAGGGAGGAGGATGTGTGTGTGTTAAACCTGTGCTGGAGGATGCCATGGCAGCTCTGTGGTGCAGTGCAGGAGCACGTTACCAGATGCAGCAGAGCCTGGGCTGATGCAGCCTGGCCCCTTGGCTGCAGGACTGGTGGCAGCTCTGAGCACGTGTGTGTGCCCTGCAGGTGAAGAGCAGCGATGAAGCTGTCATCCTGTGTAAAACAGCCATTGGGGCCCTGAAGCTCAACATTGGAGACCTCCAGGTCACCAAGGTGAGGGGGAGGCTCTGGTGCTTGGGTGGTTTGGGGCGGTGACACCACAGCGTGGCCGGGCCTGCGGCTGGGCTTTGGTCTTCGAGAGATGATGATAGATTTGCAGCTCCTGGGGTTGCCAGGAGGAGCTGCACTTCTGCCTTTCATCTTGCAGGCCATGTAAAAGCACATAGAGTGCTTCTGGCCAGAGTTCTGAGGTTCCAGTGAGGTTCTGACACAGCATTTGAGGTGCTGTGCTTATTGCTGGTCACTGCAGCATCGATGTGTACCACTGGGGAGGACAAACACCTTGACCTGTTCCAGCTTGCAGCTTGGAGGCTCTCATGCCTTCAGCAGTGTTGCTGCTTGCTGGTGAGCTGCTGACCGTGGACTGGTGCATCCTCCCCTGTGCTAAGCACGTTGAGGTTTCATCTCTTGGCTTTGTTTAGAGCCCTCTCTGAAACCTGAGATGAGTTTTCAGGCAGTGCAGCTTTAAGTTGCTCAGAGCAAGCACAGGTTTGGTGGGGGTGAGTACATGTGAAGCATGTCTGTACATGCAGGTACAGCTGCAGGGTCGTGTTCTGGGAGGTTTGGGTTTGGGTTGGGTTGTGGTTTTACCCAACTCCTGTGTAAGAGGAGGGCGCTGAAGCTTTCTCTTTAGTGCTGTGCAGTGGCTGTGCCCTCAGCTCCCTCTTTACTACCACGGGGCTGTTGCTTGTGGCCCACACGAGGCTGCTGTAGCCCTTACACAGTGATCTAGAAGGCTGGGAGTGGGGGGGGGGTGAGGGGACCTTCACCTGTCACAGCCAGGTCTTCACCCTCCTGCAGGAGACCATTGAGGAGGTGGAGGAGATGCTGAACAACCTCCCCGGGGTGACCTCGGTTCACAGCCGCTTCTACGACCTCTCCAGCAAGTACTACCAGACCATCGGGAACCACGCCTCTTACTACAAGGATGCTCTGCGGTTCCTGGGCTGCATCGACGTCAAGGACCTGCCCGGTAACTCCTCCTCTGCCCACAGGAGCCCCAGCTTTCGCTCTTTGCTTTATCCCTCCAGTCTAAGGGAAGGCACTGGCGCTTTCTCAGTGTGTTTTAACTGGCTGTACTGAGGCCAGGGGTTAGCTACAAAGAGGAATTGGCTGAGTAGGATTGTGCTCCTGACCTGCACTGAGGTGGCGGGGGCGAGGAAGTGCCCCCACCAGAAGAGTTTGTTCTAGTTCCCCAGGTCCTCACTATAGATTCAAAGAGTGGCTCTTCTGTGCCGCGGCTGTGGCTGCTGCAGGCTGAGCTTCAGGCCTGGGGAGGAGGAGGCTGGGGGTGATTTAATACAGGCACAGAGAGGAGGCTGAGGTTGCCTGCTGGGGGCCCAGGTGCTGCTTCATCCACACTCCATCCACTTGTTGCTTTGTGTTTTTTCCTCCCAGTATCAGAGCAGCAGGAGAGAGCCTTTACCCTGGGGCTGGCCGGGCTCTTGGGAGAAGGAGTTTACAACTTTGGGGAGCTGGTGAGTTCCTGCTGCCCCACTTCAGCTGCTCTCAGGAGCTGGTTTTACCCCACTGACACCATCCTGCCTGTGCTGCAGCTCATGCACCCTGTCCTGGAGTCGCTGAGGAGCACGGACCGGCAGTGGCTCATTGACACCCTCTATGCCTTCAACAGCGGGAACGTGGAGACCTTCCAGGCCCTGAAGTCAGCGTGGGGCCAGCAGGTGAGTGGGGCTGTTCCAGGGCTGCAGGCCTGGGCTCTGGATTACAGAGGGACACTGGATCTTCACGGGCAGAATTCCTGAAGAATTCTGATCACTGGTGTGGTTTCAAGCACAGCACAGTGATGCTTCTTTCACCCTGATGTGTGGTGGTCGGTTTTGGCTTCCCTCTATGCTTGGTTGATCCCATCATGTGGTCCTGCAGAGGAAGATAATCCCTGATGTCATTTCCATAACGCCATTCACTCCCAGTATTGAACTGCTTCCAGTGTGAGATAGTGGCTGTCCCTTGTGTCCTGGGAAGCTTGAGGAGTGCGGTGTTGGGTGCTAACTGCACTGGCTGTACCAGACCTCGCTGACACAGCTGTAGTTCACAGGTTAGCTTGTGTCAAAGTAATGATGACTTTACTTGTTCCGTTCCATCCCCTTCCAGCCAGATCTGGCTGCAAACGAAGCGTTGCTGCTGCAGAAGATTCAGCTCTTATGTCTAATGGAGGTGAGCCAGGAGCTGGGGCCTGTTACACATGTGGCAGATGGGAAGGGGCTGCTCCAGCTGCCGCTTGGTGGGGGTGAAACAGTCTGTTCCCCGCTGAGCTCCTTCACCCGTCCCACAGGAGCTCCTGGGTTTCAGTAGCTGGCTGCCAAGGTTGCCTGTAGATGGTGCCAGAAGGCAAGTGGTGCTGGGGAGAGGCTGCTGCCTTGTGCACTGCTTATTGGGAGTCCCGGGGGGTGAGCTTCAGCAGGGTGTGGAGGTGGGAAGGAAGGAGCAAGCTTTGTGCCTTGAGGGTGGTACCTGAAGGGTAACTCTGAGAGTGTGTTCCAGAAACAAGGGTTTCTAAAACACACTGAAAATCTTCATTCCCAAACAGTTTCAAACTCTTTTTCCTGTCACTTTGCCTCCCTGGCCCTGGATCTTCCAAAACTCAATATTGAGTTATCTGAAGGATAATATGTGTTTGTGCACCCCCATGTATCAATATGTGTGCACATTCCACTTCTGGGGTGTGATGTGAACCCAAAGGTCCTGCATTACCTGAGGGACCCGATTGTGCTGAGGTGTTTCAGCCCTGGCTGATGTGCTCTGTGTGTCCTGGGGCTGGGTGGCTGCCCCAGCAGGGGGTGTGTGTGTGTGTGTGTGTGTGTGTGTGTGTGCAGGAGGCAGCGGTGCTGCTCCTCTCTGCCCACATCAGTGTTTGCCCTTGCAGCATCCTGGTTAAAGGTGGGCAGTGCAGAGCTGGGGCAAGCAGAGCAGGGCAGCACGGGGCTGGGTTCTCACTCGTTGTCTGTTTGCTTGCCTGCAGATGACCTTCACGCGTCCGGCCAACCACAGGCAGCTCACCTTCGAGGAGATAGCCAGGAGTGCCAAAGTCACCGTGAACGAGGTGAGCTGCGCCGCAGACACCAGCGTGGCGCTTGTGGAGCCCGCGGGGGTCCGGATGGAGCTGCTCCCGTGGGCGAGCTCCAGTTGGAAATGTGCTCCCTGCTCCTGTGCCTTTGGAGAGCTCTTTACCAAGGGGGTGGCTGCTTTGGTGCTCCTGGTTCTCGGCTGATGCATTTCTGAGGATCCCCAGTCCTGGTGCTCAGCTGCAGGAGAGCTCTGGGGTCGTCTCTTCCCCCCTGCTCTGGAAGAGGCCTCTGGGTTAGGCTGTGCAGGGCCCTGCCTGCTTTGAGTGTTTCCAGCACCCGTGTTTAATTTCTCTCATGGTGAAGAGCTCCCTGCTGTTACCCAGGTGGGATCTGAGCTGAAGCAAATCCTCCTGTGCCCTGTCCTTTACTCTGTGTCCCTGTGAGAACAGTTCCTCCTATCTTCCGTGTTACTGGGTGCTGGAGAGCTGTGGTGAGGTGCCCTCAGGCAGCCTCTCACCCAGGCTGAACAAATGCTTCACAGTCTCAGGGCCTTGGTGGCCCTTGGCTGGGCTCTCCGCAGTCCTGCAGTGTCCCCCTGCACTGGAAGGGGTGGTGCAGAACTGACGCAGTGATGCAGCAAGTGCCGAGCGGAGTCACCAGGACATGGTTCCCCTTTGTGGCTCCTGCTGACCCCAGACTCTGCTCCTTCCCCGCAGAGGCCACTTTGAGTATATTTGGAGAATACCCCACATAGCCCCCTCTGTGCTGCTGCTTGGGGTTGTTGCAGGACTCCTCACCCTCGCCGTGCTTTGTGTTAGCGCAGTCTAACGAGAGTTACTGCAGTCGGTAGCTCTCGTTTCCAGCACATTCACCTCAGTTGTGCCAGAGCTGGTGCTGCTCCCAAAGGAGCACTGCTCGGGGCCAGCTGCCTGCTCAGCTTCAGGCCTCAACCACAACCCTTGGGGTGGGTGGGTCAGGAGGTTTGCTGCTGCTCTCGTGCTCCTCCTGTCTGTTCTGTAGCTCACCAGGGCATCAGCAAGGATGCGGTAGAAGGTCTTGCTAAAGGAAAGGCGCAGGGCACCTCCAGCACTGACCACTGAGCAAGCTGTTTAACTTTGAAAGGCCACCACGTTGGCTGGGTACATCCCACCCCTGCTAAATCCATGTTGACTGTTCCCAGTTCCCTCGTTCTTCCTGGATCTCAGAGGAAAGAAAGTGAAACTGCTCAGAGGGAAAAGGAGCTGCTGTGTAGTTACCGCTGAGCCTGCAGGCAGGAGGAGGGGTGTGAGCAGCTCTTGGCTTTGCTGTGCGTGGTGAACGCCTCCAAAGGCAGAGCGGGTTCGGGGGTTTGCTCCTCTGGGAGAGCAAACTGGTTCCCAGTTGTTTCCTGGAGTTCTCTGTGCTGGTTTCAGGTGGAGCTGCTGGTGATGAAGGCACTCTCAGTGGGCTTGGTGAAGGGCAGCATCGATGAAGTGGACAAGAGGGTGCACATGACGTGGGTGCAGCCACGTGTGCTGGACTTACAGCAGGTACTGGACGCAAAGGCACAACTGGTGTGTGGTGGGTGGGGTGACTGGGAGAGCTGGGAGGGGTCACTGGGTTCCTTGGTGCTCTTGAGGATGCTGAGGGTGGGAGGAAAGGGATCAGCTTTTCCCCATTCCTTTTTCCATTGCTCCTTCAGCCTTTACCCTGTGTGTGTGGCGCGTTGTGTGTGTTGCACTAAGCAGGAGGCAGTGACACTTCTGAGAGCCACGCGGAGCGCCATGGAGCACAAGTGCTGGGACTGTTTTCCAGAAGGATGCAGACATCCGGGTGGTGCTTGGGGCCTCAATGCATGAACCGGTCCTGGAGTGTCAGGGTTGTGGGTGGCAAGAGAGGTTGAGGGTGGTAAAGATGGTGCTGAGTGTCTCAGGTGCATCCTCAACGTTTTGGGAGACCATGTAGGGGCCCTTCACCTCAAAACCCCAACACACCAGTACGTGGAGCACTGGATGCAAACAGTCCCTTCTGTGCCTTCCCTTTTAACTTCCACCATTGCTGTGCCAATGGTGTAAGATGTTCAGGAGCATCTTTCCTAGACACATGGCAGTTTGGGATCTCAGGTGTTTGTCCTTGAAGTGGACATTGGTGCTTGCAGTGGCTGAGGGGCTGAGGTTGCTGTGGGCTTGCCTTGCAGATCAAAGGAATGAAAGACCGCCTGGAGTTCTGGTGCACGGACGTGAGGAGCATGGAGATGCTGGTGGAGCACCAAGCCCATGACATCCTGACATAGAGCCCCCGGGAGAGGGAATCCTGCTGCTCCTGGTGCCAGCAGCACTCACCACTGACTGAACTGCATTATACTGGGGGGGGGAGAGGGGGGGAGCAGCTCTTGAGGCTTGTTGGGAGGAGTAAGTGGCCTTTTGCTGTGTGAGCCTTTGGTGCTTGGAAGTGAGATTTCCCTGATCACTCACATGGGTGGCACTGCCCTGGGGGTCCCATCCTGCTCCGGGACAGGGGTTCATTCGTCACACTGCTGTGGGAGGATGGGTGCTGGTGCCTGTCAGCAGCAGAGGCTGTTTGCTGGGTGAGGGGCAGCAGCAGCTCCTTCACAGGAGCTGGAGCGGTGCCTGACGTTGTACCTGGTGTTAGGTGGTGGTACTGGCCTTAGGAGGGCACAGCTGCTCCCTGCCCACGGCAGCCTGAATCCAGCCCCCTGCTCCCACCCGTCCTGCAGCCCTCCTCCCTGTGGCAGAGGGAGTTTGCTCCACCAGAGGGGTTCCCGTGCAGTGGAAGGGGTTCCTGCCCCTGGGGGGGTTGTGTTCCCAGCACTGCTCCGTGAGGCGCTGGAATAAACTTCCCTGCCTTCCCTTTCCCCCGTAGCTGTGTCTGTGTCTGCAACGCCTGCATTGAGCCTCTGCCCTGGTGGAAAGGAGAGCGGGTTTGCACAGCAGCGGGGTTCATGTGTCGCTTACCCAGCGGGTAGCACCTTGTGCTCTGCTTCCTTTGGGAAGCTGCAGTCCCAGTGCCTGGGAAAACGGCACTCCTGGAAAGGCCCCAAAGGAGGCCAGAGATGAGGAGGTTTTGTGCTCTTCTGCCTCTTAACAACTGCTCTCTAAAGGCTTTTGTAACGGGGTTGTTTTGCCCAACCCTGCCTTCACACGGATGCAAGGTCACTGTGCCCGTGAGAGCTGGAAACAGGTCTGAACTGGGGCTACCTCTGAGTGCCCGTCTGGATGCATAATGCTCCTGAATGTAAGGCAGCAACAGCAAACAGTGGCTTTAAGTTGAACAGAGGCACGTTCACCTATCACCAAACTGAGAACAAGGAGGATTCTGCTTGGGCTCTAAGTGGATGTTTGAATCCTGCACCTGTGTGTCCGTGGTCAGTTGTTGTGGTGCCCATTCGGGTGCTGCTGTGGTTCAGGAGCTCTGCTTGTCGGATCTCTGGGTCACTACAAAGTGCCTTGGGGGCTTTTACTTCTGTGCTTTCTGTGCCTCACTGCTTGGGCTCAGGGGGTTTCATGCCAGCGGTGGGCAAAAGGAAGCTCTGCTCCTGGGCCCGCTCTGCAGGGGCAAAGGGAGGCTTCAGCCACATCACATCACCCCCTGTGCCCCTCTTCGGCCTGAACCTCTTCCTGGCTGGAGCTGTTGAGCTCCAGTTCTGCCCTCGGTGCTGGTTCTGCTCTGCCCAGGCCAGTCCCACTGCTGGGGTGGGTGAACCCCGATGCTCCCTCCTGTGCTGGGCACTGGGACATTCCCTCCTCCATCCTGTGCTCCACAGCCCTCTCCTGGGCCACCGACCTCAGGGGAGCAGGAGGAGGAGGCACCTGTGACGGGGACAGCTCTGCTTCGTTCCATGGGTATGGATGGAAAGGGCTTCAGAAAGCTCCATCTCCTCCGGGTGTCACCTCCCTGCACGCGAGGAGCAAAGGAAATGGCACCAGTGCAACAGAGCGCAGGCACTGGGGCTGCTGCTGCTCTACTGAGCACCAGAACCTGGAGCCTTGTGCCGAATCGGAGCTGAAGCCTCCCGTTCTGTGGCCTGGCCGCTGGTGTGAGCCATGCACGGAGCTGAAGGGCTGCTCCTTGAGCTGTGGCTCCTGGTTCAGAGGTTTTCCAGGGTACTGGAGTGGTGCTGCTTCCCTAACGGGTAACTGGGAGATGAGCTGTTTGGGGCAGGAAGGGGACACGTCGGACGTGCAGCCCCGCTCCAGGCCATTGGCGATGTCCCTGCGGGCTGTGAGTGTTCCCTGGCTGGGATTTAACCGGAGTTTGCTCCCTTGGCAGTGCTGGGTGCTCCTGGAGCCAGCCCCGCTGCAGGGGAGCGCGCTCCAGCTCCATGGGAGACCACAGCTCCGGGCTGCAGCCTCACAAAGGGATCGCCTTTGTGGAGCCATGGAGTGAGCGAGGCTGGAAAAGACCTTCAGGACCATCGAGTCCAGCCTTTCCCAGCACTGCCAGGGCCACCACTGAGCCCCGAGCAGGGGGCACATCGGTGCCCTATGGACAAGCTGAGGCAAACCCAACACCCTCGGTGTGAACGGGAACTTTAATGAGCAAAGCCCAAGGGCTCCCCCCCGGTGAAGCTCCGTCCTGGGGCCTTGGTTCCACTCATGTCTGCTCTCACCAGGGCCCGGGTGCTGCTTCGCTGCTCCTCACTCGGGTCTGCTCTTGTAGTGCTCGATGTTTCCCAGGATCCAGCCTGTTGGGAGCATGAAGCATCCGAACATGACAGAAAACGCAATGGCTTGTTCCTGCGGCGGAGGAGACACGGAGGGGCAGTGAGATGGGAGGAAGGATCCGTGGCACAGCGGAGTGGGGGGCATGGAAGGGTCAGTGGCACGGAAGGGTCAATGGCACAGCAGGTTGGGTGGCATGGAAGGGTCAATGGCATGGCAGGGTGGGTGGCACAGCAGGGTCAATGCACAACTCGGTGGGTGGCACAGCAGGGTGGGTGTCAGAGCAGGGTCATTGCACAGGAGGGTCAATGCACAGCAGGATGGGTGGCACAGCAGGGTGGGTGGCACAGCAGGGTGGGTGTCAGAGCAGGGTCAATGGACAGCAGGGTGGGTGGCACAGCAGGATCATTGCACAGCAGGATCATTGCACAGCAGGGTGGGTGTCAGAGCAGGGTGGGTGCCACAGCAGGATGGGTGGCACAGCAGGGTCAATGCACAGCAAGATGAGTGCCACAGCAGGACGGGTGCCACAGCAGGGTCAATGCACAGCAGGGTGGGTGTCAGAGCAGGGTGGGAGCCACAGCAGGACGGGTGCCACAGCAGGACGGGTGTCAGAGCAGGATCAGTGCCACAGCAGGGCGGGTGTCAGAGCAGGATCAGTGCCACAGCAGGATGGGTGCCACAGCAGGACGGGTGTCAGAGCAGGATCAGTGCCACAGCAGGGCGGGTGTCAGAGCAGGATCAGTGCCACAGCAGGATGGGTGCCACAGCAGGGTGGGTGTCAGAGCAGTGCGGGTGCCACAGCAGGACGGGTGTCAGAGCAGGATCAGTGCCACAGCCCCGTGACGCCCGCCCTGTCCCTGGCCGCGGGCCTGGGCTCCGCTCCCCGCAGCTCTCCTGACTTTGAGATGACTTTGGTGCAGCTGCCGCCACCGGCGCCCTGGCCCCGAGCCCCTCGCGCTGCCCCCTCTGCCTTCAGCCGCCCACGGGCTCCAGGCCCGCAGGAGCTTTGTGCAGACCCCGGGGGCACAGCGGGGCCAAACCCGCGCAGCGGGGCCCGGCTCCAGCCGGGGTGCGTGGGGCAAAGCCCCTTCCCCGAGCTCTGTGGCCCAGCCCAGGCGGCCTCAGGGGATGCGGGGACCGAGGCTGGCAGCAGCCCCCGTCCTTGCCGTGGGGACGCCAGCTCTGGGGTGAGTGTTCCATGGAGGGGGGGCCGGGGCCGGGGGTGTCTCTGTGCGGGCTGGGGGCTGCTGCCCCCCCCCTCCCCGGGTCCTTGGGCTGTGCCTTGGCTTTGCCTCCCTGTAGCAGCTCCCTAAACCCCAGAGGGTAAAACAGGGGCTCAAAGGATGGAGTCAAACAGGAGGAGGGGGTGCGCCTGCTGTGGGGAGCAGCCCGGAGCCTGTGCTGCTGGGGGGGGAGGCACCCGTCCTCCTTCCCCCCTCCCCTTTTGCCTTAGAACCCCTCAAACCAGTTTGCTGTGATGCAGAGGGGGCTTGTGCCCCTCTGACGGGGCGTCCCTGGAGCTGGAGCCCCTGCCTTTGTCCCCATGGAGCTGGTGCCCCCCCCCCCCGTTACTCACGGCAGGTGAGAGCTGGTGCTCGGGTGGCTGGGACCTGATGTGCGCTCGGGGGACCCGCAGGGGCCGCAGCAGCGTTGTCAGGAGCCGGGAGCTGCGCTGGAGCCCGGGCATGGCGCTGGCACAAGGGGACGAGGCTCCTCACACTGCAGCTGCCCGGCCCGTCACGGCTGTCACCGCTGCCACCCCGACACCCTGTCACCGGGCAGGGCCGTCCCATCCCTGTCACCGGGCAGGGCCGTCCCATCCCTGTCACCGGGCAGGGCCGTCCCATCCCTATCACCGGGCAGGGCCATGCCATCCCTGTCACCATCACAGGGCCATCCCATCCCTGTCACCGGGCAGGGCCATGCCATCCCTGTCACCATCACAGGGCCATCCCATCCCTGTCACCATCACAGGGCCGTCCCATCCCTGTCACCGGGCAGGGCCATCCCATCCCCATCCCCGGGCCACTGGCAGGCGCTGCCCTGAAGGTTGCAGCAGCCCTGTCCCCTGCACTGGAGCTTGTCCCCATCTCCCTCTCCTCCTTTAGTTCTCACCCTCAGCAGCACCCAGTGGTCCACGTCTGAGAGGTCAAAACCTGCGTGCCCACCAGCAAGGTGGGGCCCAGCCATGATGCTCTGCGCGATCTCCTCTCCCGCTTGTTAAAACCTTTAACGCTCAAAGCACAATGTGCTGGTTTAAGCTGTTGCTGATGAGATGCCGGATCTCTGCCCATAGTCAGCAGGACCTTGCTCGTCCCATCTGTGGTGACAGCTTCCCCATCTTCCCATCCCCTTGCAGCTCCCGGGGGCTCAGGGTCGCAGCAGCCCCTTTGCAGCTCGGGTGGGCTCTTGTCCTGGAGGAGGTTGGAGCTCTTTGCCCAGGACGGTTTCTCAGGCAGGAGCAGTTTTGCCCCTGCCCAGGACCAGGTGCTCTGAGCTCGGCCGTGCCTCTTGAGGGGGTTCGGCCTCGCTGCGAGAAGGGGCTTTGCAGAAGGAAGCTCAGTGAGCGTCCCGTTAGCGAGGCAAAGGCAGCCGGGTCGGCGCTGCCGGGTCACTGCGGGCAAAGCGCTGCCCCCGTGCGCTGGAGGAGGCTCCTGCACCCCGGAGCCGGTGTGAACCCGCCTCAGCCACAGGCTCAGCCCTCGCCTGGACCGGGAGGTTCGAGATGGGAATGGACTGAGCTTGCTGCAGGAAGGGCTGAGGTCAGATCCTCGGGTGCCGAAGGAGCAGGGCACAGAGCAGGTACCAACGGGTGGGCTCTGCCGCTCGCTGCCCATCAGGGTGCCTCCAGGTACTGGCAGCAATAGGATGGATCCTGGCAGGCTCTGCCTGCAGGGAGCATCCTGCTCTTCGGCTGCTGTGCTGGAACCTGGGGAGCAGAAGATGCAGGGAGCTTTTTGCCCCTTCCCACCCTTGTTTTGGTGAGGAGAGGACCCAGCAGCTCCTTTTCTTCCCCTGCACGCTCACTGCTGCTGCTGCTGCTCCTTCCCTCAGCTTCCTCCCTGTTTTCCGGCAGGAAAAAGCTGCTCCAGGACACGTGTCCCTGGGGAAACGCTCCCTTTGGTGCTACTGAGCTTGGTGGGACCCAGGGGTAAGACAAACACAGCCTTTCTCTGTGCTCCACAGAGCCTTCCTACCAGCTCACGCCGCATTTCCAGCATGGTCTCAGACCGTTGTGCCTTGGTTGACATCTGTGTTTTGGGGGTCACAGGTGAAGCTGGAGGAGCTCTGTATTTACAGAGAACAGACTGCCTGACAGCAGTCATAGCGAGGTGGGGCTGGGCTCTGCTCCCAAGGGACAAGGGATGGGACCAAACAGCCTCAAGCTGCCCCAGGGCAGGTTTAGATGGAGCTGAGGAACAATTCCTGCCCCAGAGGGTGCTCAGGCATTGGAACAGGCTGCCCAGGGAAGGGCTGCAGGCACCGGCCCTGCAAGTGTTCACACACCGTGGAGACGAGGCCTCAGTGCCATGGGTTAGGGGTGGCCTTGGCAGTGCTGGGGTAAGGGCTGGACTGGATGAGCTGGAAGGGCTTTTCCAGCCTGGTTGGTTCCATGGTTCCACAGTTCTCTGTGCAATGTCTATCCTGTCACTGCTGGCTCTCCCCCGTAAGCTGTTCCCCCTCTCTGAGCACAGGGCAGGGGCTCAGTGTCTGCCCTGGTCACAGGGACAGGAGCAGAGACCTTTGCTGAGGGCTCTGTGCCTGCAAGGACCAGGCACGCTGATGTGGGGCCCCTCTGACACACTGGGGACACGGGCAGGGTGTGATGGGGCTGAGTGGGGAACCTCGAAGATGCTCCAGCTGCAAGTGTGTGGAGGCTGATGGGTGGAAGCTGGAAAACAGGGAAGGCTTTGGGATAGAAGAGTTGTAGGATCAGGTGGATTTGGGAGCCTCCAACTACTAGCGAGCATTGACAGCTGGAGGCACGTCTGTGATCCAGGGGAATATCCATGTATTGGCTGGAGAAGAGAAGGCTCCTTAAGAGAGCAGCTCCAGTGCCTAAAGGGGCTGCAGGAAACCTGGAGAGGGGCTTGGGACAAGGGCCTGCAGGGACAGGCCAAGGGGAATGGCTTGAACCTGCCCGACGGGAGACTGAGCTGAGCTCTTAGGCAGAAGCTCTTCCCTGTGAGTGGAGTGCAGGGTGTCCCTGCCAGCGGCAGGCGTTGGAATTGCATGATCTTAAGGTCCTTTCCAGCCTAAACTGCCCTAAGATTCTATATGAAGTGGAAAAGGATCTGGACATAACGGCAGAAAGTCACTGAGCCCCAAGAAACGTTACAGATAACTCGGGGCTGATGTAACGTGTGTGAGATGTACACAGGCTGTGAGTGGGGGGAGCCCCACATGAGCCATTTTCTGCTCATTAAGCTCCGGTGGCTGCATCTGGGTTCAAAGGAGTTGCTTCCATTGGTTCTAGGGCTCGTCAGGATCAGTGTCTACACCTGGGAAACGCAGATGGCACAGGTTACCTCATCAGTACTTATGTATTATGGCCAGCAAGGCTGTGTAACCTTGTTATTGCCACTTGGGTTCAAACTTAAACGGGGGGGACTCAGGTTCAAGGAAGGAATTCTTCCCTGGGAGGGTGCTGAGGCGCTGGCACAGGGTACCCAGAGAAGCTGTGGCTGCCCCATCCCTGGCAGTGTTCGAGGCCAGGTTGGACACAGGGGCTTGGAGCAAGCTGCTCCAGTGGAAGGGGTTGGGATTGGAGCTGGAGGAGCTTTAAGGTCCCTTCCAACCCAAACCATTCCCTGTTCTATGGTTCTGTGACCTCTCTGGGAAGCTGCTTTGCCCGTGACAGGGCTGTGGAAGCAAGAGGAGGTGTTGAGCAGCGCTGGTGCCCCGTGGTGCAGGATGCTGGAGCAGGGTGCTCGCAGGCACTGCCTCAGCTCTGGCTCGGGCTGCAGCCGGGGCACGGGAAGGCAGCGGCAGACGGATCCCAAGCTGGAATCTGGCTCCGTTCTCTCCGCAGGCGCCTGAGGAGCAGGGTCAGGGCGTGCAGGGGACAAGGAGCCGCCGCCTCGCTCGGGTGAGTTCGGGAATGAAGCACGGGGCGCTGCTCCCGTGCCGGTTCCTCCTTCCCCGCTGTGAGCCCCTGCGCCCGCCCGTCCCGCCCCGGGCTCGGTTTAACCATTACCGGTTGCTCGAGGACGGGAAAAAAGTTGTTTCCTTCCTTCTCCGTCGGGCAACTTCCGTCCCGTCCCCGTCCGCCCCCTCCACGGGGCCCCCGGAGCAGCGGCCGGACCCAGGCAGGATCCATCCTCTCCTCGGAGCCGCTCTCTCTGGGTTCGCGTTTGTTTGGTCGCAGCTCCCCGGGGGCAGAGCAGGGATTTTCTCCCCGTTCAGCCCTGCTTGAGGAAACCACCGGGGCCGTCCGCAGCCGCTGCGCTCGGGAGGGGGGAGTTTGGGGTGCTCAGCCCGGGCTGGGCTTCCAGCGCTGCTTGGGGTGTCCCTGGGTGCCTCGCTTTATCCTTCCTGTGTTACTGCCGTTCCTAGCAGTGCCTGCCCCAGCTGCAGCTCCCTTCTGTAAGGTGCCTTTTGTAAACGTCTGTATCTTTATATATCCTTAAATGTATAAATATATAAAGATACGTATTTGTATATGTAGTTATAAAAATGCCCTACCCCAGAAGCCAGTAGCTGGGTGCCAGCTGGAGGTGCAGGAATGAGGGGGAGCACAGGGGGGCAGTGAGCTGCAGAGGCCACAGAGCAGTGTTTAATAGCGCTGGGGGGAGAGGAAGGAAGAAGGGGAAGGTGGCTGGGTTGCGTTGGTGGGATCCTGTCACGGAGAGGGCAGCAGAAGAGGAACAGGAGGGGAGCTGGGGAAGTGCTGGAGGCCGCGGTGCTTGGTGAGGTTTGGGTGAGCTGGGGGTGGTTGGAGAGAGGAGGAACAAGGGGAGCTGCAGGAGGAGGGGATGCGCCTGCCCGGGCCGGGATGGAGGAGGTGGGGTCTGAAGGGATGCTCACAGCAGTTGGGACCGCAGGATGGTGCCGGGGCTGGCGGCCGCGCTCAGCCCCGCTGTGCCCCTCATCCTGTGTTGTGCCGCAGGGCGCTGGGGCCATGGCTGACGGCAGCGAGGACCCGGCCGTGTTCTCCTCCTCCTCCTTGCCCGCGGACCCGCGGCTCCTGGCCACGGTCACCAACGCTTACCTGGGCACGCGCGTGTACCGCGAGGCCCTGCACGTGAGCGGCGTGTACAGCGGTGCCGCGGGCGATGCGCACCGCGCCGACGTGCCCAGCCCCGCCAACGTGCGCATGGCGGTGCCCGGCGAGGGCGGCCTGGATGAGACCTTCACCCTGGACACCCGCACGGGTAAACGGTGGGGCTGGGCAGGGCCGGCCTTGTCCTGCTGCCTCCCGTGCGTCTTCCTCGCGTGCACCCATCACTCTTCCCCCCAGCTGCCGCTGCCTCCCTTCTGGAAGTTAAAGCCTCTTTGCCTCTCCCACAAGGCCCCATCTCTCTTCTCCCCGTTCTCTGCTCGCCTGCGGGTGCTCTTCCAGAGCCACATTGGAGCAAGTGGGAAGTTCCCCTTTCCTGTGAGGATGAGTAATTTCCAGGCTGTATCAGTCCCTGCTGGAGCCAGGCTGAGCAAACACTGTTTAATCATAAAGCCTGGGGGAACATTGTACAGCACAAATCGTTCCCCAGTGGCTTGGCCAGATTCGGTGTAATGGTGTTTGGATCTGGACCTGGGAAAGGCAGTTCCTTTGCCAGTAGGAAGCAGTAAATCGGGGCAGAATGGGGAGCGTGGGGCAGAGCATCAGGTCCTGATGGTTCCAAAGGCTGATGGCTCTCGTTGTGCTTACAGGAACCTTCAGCCATGAGCTTCGGTCAACGGATTACGTGGCCACCCAGCAGATCTACGCTCACTATTCCCTTGTCCACTTGCTGGTCGTCAGCATCACCATCCGGCGGTCGGCTCACACCACCCAACCCATCACCATCCAGCTCCAGTCTCCTTTTGAGCCGAAGAGCCAGGATTTGGACCTGAAACAGGGACCCGACTTCCAGGGAGCACAGTGAGTGGGATCGGGGGCACCTGGCCCTGAATGCATCCTGCATGGGCTGCTGTGCACTGCCCTGCTTGTGTTAGGAGGTACACAGCAGGAGTAAGGCTGGAGCCATGCTGGGTATGGTGGAGGCTGGTGCAAATCTACCCCTTCACATAAGGCATGTAAAACAAACCCCAAAATCCAGCATAGAAACACGTTCATTAGCTGCCACCCCGGAATTATTCCTGCCACTGGCATGAAAAAGGGACGAGGGCCGCAGGGGCTGGGTGTCATTGCACAGGAATGGGTTTGTTTGGCTTTGGAGGAGATTCTGTTGCCAGCCCAATGCCTGGTGTGCCAGAAGCCAGTGCTCGCACACACGGGGGACACTGAGGGTTTGGTCTGGATCCACAAAGGTTTGGGTGCTGGGGGGGTCCCAAAAGTCTAGTGCCCCTGAGTCACATCGTGTGTCGTGCTTGTGTCCAAAGCCAGTGCTGAGTCAGCAGGTTCTGAGTGCAGGCTCTGTGCAGCGACTGGTTACTAATTAGCATGGACCATAATGAACTTAGGCAAGCTCTGCACCCTTGCCCATGTGCTCGGCCTGGGGTCTCCAACCTGGGCGAGGGGCTCTGACCTGTGAGGGTTCTAATGAAGACAGCTCGGTTGAGGACTCCAGGGCCTGGTACCTTCTTGCCGGGCTGGCCACATATTTGAAGCATCTTGACTCTTTACATCCTTGAGCCCAACCTTTCCAGGGTAAACCATGCCAAGCGTTCCACCTGAATTACCCACCCCAGATACAGCCCCAAAGCTGCCAAATTTTAGCATAGATAAGTTGTTAAGAAGTTCCCATGTCCTTGAAGCCATGCGCATCAGTTCTAGGGACAGAATGACTGGAGGTGACCTCTACAAGATGTGGTTGTCTTCAAGATGACCTCTACGAGTGGCTGGTTGGGACTGGGGACCGGTTGTAACGGATTTCAGCCTCGGTTCTGGGGCTGAAGCACGGGGACGATGGAGCTTCCCTCCTGGATGGGAGCCGGAGCCTGACCTCTGCTGCCGGGGCAGGTCCCCACGGCTCGGGTGGACGTGCTCCGGCCCCGCAATCTCTGCTCGCCTCTCCCTGCCCCTTGCTGTCCCCACAGCTACGTCTACGGGAGGACGCTGGTCCCCGAGGTGCAGGGGGGGCCCCGTCCCGCCGTTCACATGCTCTGGACGCCGGTGCCCGGGGCGCTGACGCTGCGCGGGGAGGAGCGGGAGCGGTGCTGGCAGTTCCTGACGGCCGTGGCCGGCAGCGAGGAGGGGGCCCAGGGCAGCTACCGGCGGGGCCTGGCCTGCGCGGCCGCGGGGTCCCTGCACCGGCGCCATGCCCGCGCCTGGGCCGCCCTGTGGCGGGGCAGCAGCGTGGAGCTGGCCGGGCCCCTGCGGCTGCGGCGAGCCCTGCGCGGGAGCCTCTTCTACCTCCTGAGCTCCATCGCCCCGCAGCCGGCGCTGCCCTCCCACGGCATCAGCCCCGGCGGGGTGGCCAACGGTGCGCGCGGCGAGGACTACTGGGGCCACGTCTTCTGGGACCAGGTGAGTGCTGCCGCGGTACCCGGGGCTCGCGCAGCGGGCGGGATGCAGGATGCTGTGATGCCGCCCCCAAGCAGGAGGAGCCTGGTCCCAGTAGGAGGATGCTCTCCAGCAGCATCCATCCTCCCGCTCCATTCAAGAAGCTGCCCAGACCCAGCTCCATCCCGGAATTTCCTCATCCGGGTTGTCTCTCACTCAGGAATAGATTGTTGAGATTGAAGCTGGGTGCCTGGGGCTGCTGCAGCAGCATTAAGGGTGATACCCACCCCAGGGCACTCCCCTTCCCCACGCTGAGGTCTGGGGCTGGGATAGTTCGGGTTGGTAGCCCCAGGGTGCTCCAGTGACTAGCATAGAGCACAGCCACCAACAGTTAGCTCTTTAAAAGGAAGCAAGTTGAAACCTGCTTTTCTCCTCCCAGCTTTGGTGGCATCGGCAAGCCCTGAACCACTGGGAAGAGAAGTGTTTCCTGTGACGGGCATGTTCAGCCTTTGAGCATAGGTTTGGGGTGTGCTCAGTAAGCTGGACGGGCAGGGTGGCTTTGTCCTGCCAGGGGCTTGGACCTGCTCTGGGGCAGCCACACCGGTGGGTGCTCAGCTCGGTTGCATGGTGTGAGCAGGAGACACCGGGTGCTCTTGAGGCTCCTGCTCCTGGGCTGGTGAGGCTGAATCCAGTCTATTCCCAGCCTTGGTCGGTGGTTTGTATCTGAGGGCAGAAGCTCTTCCCTGTGAGGGTGCTGAGGAGCTGGCACAGGGTGCCCAGAGAAGCTGTGGCTGCCCCATCCCTGGCAGTGCTCAAGGCCAGGTTGGACACGGGGGGCTTGGAGCAAGCTGCTCCAGTGGAAGGTGTTAGGGTTGGAGCTGGAGGAGCTTTCAGGTCCCTTCAACCCAAACCAGGCTGGGATTCTGTTGCCAAGGACTCCAGCCCCTGCTCTGTGCTTTGCACTGATCCACGCACCCCCAGAGCTGCAGCAAAACCTGCTCTGTTTGCACTAACTCTGCTCAGGGGATTTTAACACTCACCCTTTGCCTCCTGCTCCAGAGGTCCCAGGTGAAGCCACCCAGTGCTGGCTTTGGGTGCTTGGAGAGCCTCACCCACCATCCCTGGGGACACACGCACCTTTAACGCCTTACTGGGTTCCTTCCATCCCCATAGAGGCAGGTGACTTACGGGGCTGCAGCTTCCACTGGTGGCTGTGGCCTCTGTCTCCTGCTCTGTGCTTCATCAGCAGAGCGTGGGACACCGGCACATCCCAGACCTTGTATGAGCACTGCTCAGGCTCAGCTGAGCACCAGTTACCAGCGTTCATCCCATGCCAAAGGCAGGACCCAGCAAGGGCTGGGTTTGGGGGAGTTACTCTGAACCTTGGCTGTAAATGGATTTCGGTTCCAGCTGAGGCACATCTGGATGAAGGCCGCAGCTGCCGGGCTGAGGTTCAGCAGATCCAGCCCTTGCTGTGCCCTGTCTTTGCATTAACTTCTTACTGCAGCTGAGTAACTGATCTCTGCCAACGCTTCCAGTGGTCAGGGGCTTCCCGTGGACCTTGTGTGCGTTCTTCCTGCTGATGTGTTGGGTTTGACCCTCTCCAGAGCCTCCCTTGTCTTGCATGACGGGAGGTCCCACTGAGATCCTCCTGCGAGACCCCAGAGAGCAGCAGGCATGGGCGGGAGCAGTTCCATGTGGATTTATCCCTCCTAATGAACCCATGGAATGGCACCTTTAAGTAGTAGCAAAATCGCAGTCAGGGCATTTGGGATGGAAGGTGAACCGGTGGGAGCGTTTGGGTGCCCCCCCCCCAACCCTGCCATCTGCTTCCAGTGTTAGCGTCGAGACAAACACATAACCACCGGGATGGTTATATGAGGTGCTTTATTGAGGCGCCGGGAACCAGGGGTACGCACCCAGATCTGGTTCCGATTCCCGTCACATCGCGTTCGCAATTTATACACTAAAATTTCGTAAGTAATACATATTCAACACAGATTACATCATTGACTAACACATATGCATCAAAGATTGCTACATCAATTTATTCCGACATCATCCTCTTCTGCGCTTGCGCCGCCCCCTCTGGTGGTCGTCCTGATGAAGTAAGGAGTCTTCCTCAGATGAAGTAAGAAGTCTTCCTCAGGACCTTTTCCTTACTTGGATATATCCCAACCCTTGTGTGGACGCTAGCATTTTCTTATCAGCTTCTGGTATGCTCTTCTGGCTACCTTATGCATAGGTTCCATTTGGGTATAGTCTCCAGTACATACCTTTCTAAATCCACCCATACACATATCATTGCAACACTGGTTACAGAACAACCATAATACAAAATTGCAAAGTTACAACATTTTCTAATATATAAAACCTCACTATTGATTTATAAATTTCTCAAATATAATAATTTCTACTATTTTATATGATTATTTTATTGTAAAAAACTTCACCTCCTCTAACATTTCCCCCCTTTGAAAATACTTCATTTAACTTAAGCAAGTATTTTCATTCTCTTAGGTAGCCGTCTCCTGATAAGTAGGTGGAGGTGTGGGGCTCTTTGGATGTTCCCTAGTTACTGCTCCTATGATTCGATGAGTCCAAGCACTGTTGCGAGTTATTTCCTTTCGGATACAAAGATACATCAGATATGTTATCAAAAACACAATTAATATTACAATTGCGGTTTGTATGAGGGAACGAATCCATCCAGTAAGGTGAAGGCCCAGACTGTTAAATATTGTCCCTAGCCAATCTTGTTTAGCCTTTTCTTTTTCCTTTTCTATTTCTTGTTCAATGTTGGTTAGTTGGGAAATGTCGTGTTCTATATCTGCAGTCACATTAGGAATGTGAATACAGCAATGATCCACTCTGTCCTTTAAATATTCACAGACACCATGTTCCTTAAGTAACAACATGTCTAATGCCATTCTGTTCTGCAAGGTCATTTTAGTTGTTGCCCGTAATTGCAAATTTAAATCTTTGAATCCTTTCTTTGTTATCCTGGCTAATCTTTTTGTTTGGCCAATCAGGCTGTCAATCATCTCTCTATTTCGATATGCTGCTACTTGGGCAAATAGGGATTCAAAAGCCCATCCTGTTTTAACTCCTGTGGAGGGTTTCTGCCAAGTGTCTTCATCGTCACTGTCGTTATCATCTACATCTCTTTTTGTTCGAATTTGCGGGGTTTCTAATCTGCCTTTGAATGGTGACTTCTTCCAAATTGGACAAAGAGTCGGTAATCCTAGGGTGATTTCTTTAGCTGGACCTTCCACGGATAGGTGGGTAGTCCAGGTTCCATCACTTGCTGCCCATACAAAATGTCCTATGCTACGCACCGTAGAATATTTACAGTCTACATTGTCAACTGGGACCTGTATCACCTTTCCTCCAATTCTCAGTCCTCGACATGCACATCCTGCCATTAGAGCAATTTTAACTGGAGGTATTGTGATTTCTTCGGGGTCAGAGTCACAATCTAAAATTTTGGTACAATTCCACCAAGGAACATTTTTGATGACATCTCGACTAACTCTGTTTATGGACAACAAATTATCGATGTTTATGTTTTCTGTCATATTTTGCTTTCCTGTCCATCTAAGGCACCAAAATGTGTTTCCAATATATTGAAATTTCTGCAAAATGCTCATTGACCAAGCCGTGTCCCAGTTTTTGGTTTTTTCACATTCCCATACTTTTTCTTGTTTGTTTACTTTAGTTTCTTTATCATAAATACATTTTCCGACTCCTCCTTCATAAGAGGTAAACTGTGAGTTTAGTTTCTTTTCACATAATGACTTTGTTACGGAGGTTCCCAGAATACCTTCCTTATGATATTCTGTCACCGTTATATTTTTCGTTACCTCTTTTTCCTGACAAGTGATTGTTCCGTTAATTTCTGAAAGTGAAAGCGTTATTATTCCCCATTCAATTGGTTCTCCAGCTGCTTTGGGTATCGGCAAACATGCTGTTATTCTACTTGTGTTTTTCATTTTTGCGAAATCCTTAATCAGACCTATCATTAGGTTTTCTTCGGGATTTCGGCAATATGATTGAATTATCCGTGTGGGATTCACTGATCTTTTAGTTCTTTTTCCTGTAACTTTGATTTTGCTGTAGCTAACTGTAGATTTAGTTCTATAGAACCGTTTACCTTTAAAAGTGTTGGTCCCATCAGAATGGTTTCCGTGAACTTGCAGGTCAGAATGGCATCTTGTTTTAAGTTTTGTCAATCCATTTTTCTGAGAAATTCCTAGGATAGGACTAAACATCAATTGTGTTAATGACCAAATGACAATCAAAATTTTGTAACAAAACCCAGACATCTTATTTACATTTCAGCTTCAGTTTCGTAGAACCTAGTATCTGTGTTTCCCAGACTTCTGGAACTCTTTTTACCCGCGTATAATGTATCCAAGAATCCGCCCCTTCTACCTTTACTGCAGTGAACGTTGTTAATAGTACTTGATGAGGTCCGTCCCACCTTTCTTTTAGTGGTTCCTCATTCTAATTTCGGATGTATACTTGATCTCCTGGCTGAATGTCATGCACTGGATTTTCCAAGGACAATGGCCTGTTCCACACCAGGGTGCTTCTCAGTCTGGTTAGGGTTTTACCTAGAGATAGCACATAATTGTAAACATCCTGGTTCCCTTTAATGTGGGTATTGGGATTAGGTTCTGGTGCCTCATACGGTTTCCCATAGAGAATTTCATAGGGGCTTACTGACATTCCACTTCTAGGTTTTATTCTGATTCGCAACAAAGCTATGGGCAGTGCCTGTGGCCATTTTATTTTGGCCTCTTGGCATATTTTACTGATTTGTCTTTTTATTGTCTGATTCATCTTTTCCACCTGCCCACTAGATTGGGGTCTCCAGGGAGTATGTAGATTCCATTATATTCCTAACAGTTTACTTATCTCCTGTACTATTGTTGCGATAAAGTGTGGGCCTCTGTCTGATGATATTCCTAAAGGAACACCAAATCGTGGAATAATTTCTCTGAGCAACCACTTTACTGTCT